GCCTTAGTATATCGTCTAAGATGCGGTATAAGAAATATAACCCTCATCTGTTATTTAATGATGATAAAAGAATGATTGTTAGACAATACATACATTCAAAGAAATAGTATAGGTTGAATTGACATAAACAAGTGCAAACCAACCATGTTGTTGAATAAAACTACAATGGTGGTACATTCGACGATTTCGTGATCGTCAAAACAATTGAGGAAAAATTGTACATGAACAAATTCAACGTCAACTAAAAATATTAGTTGGTTTAGATAATATTTTTGTGGAACAATTAATAATTTCTAAACATTAGTCAAATGAAACAAAGAATAGCATTCCAACAACATTATAAGTGTAACTGAAATTGTATAATAGCTCGCTTAGTGTTATAGTTGGTAGACGAACGAACAGGAAGCTATAATCAACCTATAACAATTTCAAATCAAACTAATAGTATATTCTTCAACGAGCGTATAATGATAGCTATTATTCCAGAGGATATGATTCCGAAACGAGCCGTAGGCGAGTTTCGGAATTATCCGAGAGAATAATAGCTATTATACGCGAGTAGAAGACTATACTTTCTCTACGACTATACGATAGTCAGAAATTCAATCTAATCTAATTATTATTTATGGAAATAATATACTTGATGTATGAATTTTAATGATATTATAATACAATTGACAGGAATCTTTGAGATTCAACGAACTCAATGATGAAACAACACAATAATTATTAGGTCAGTAAATTATGTTTCTCGTACTTAGTGACTAAATTTTTAGTGAAATTCTCACAATTCGTGAAATTTAATGTCGGTGTTGCATTTAAATCAACACTGACATTTTTATTGATATTGCTAGTTGATGTTTTTTGTGTGAAGAAACTGTTATTTGATGATGATGAACATTATTCGATTCATTGAAGAATTCGAATCTGCCGTTTTTTTTATTCAACATATGGAATCTTCTAGAAATCCTTCTGCCACCGATGTGCTCTTCCAGCCACTATGTCTTTTCAATGCTGTTATACCTCCACCTGCATTGACAAGCAAAGCAATGCCCGGTGTACATCTCGGGATTTGGTAGCTTCCAAAATGTAACTATATTAGTTTTCCCATTGCTGCAAACTTATTAATTCCAATTTTCTAAAGAGTACATTTTCCTTCTTGGTAATTCATGAAAAAATTGGTAATCACAACATTTGCTGCTCGTATATCAATGTACTTTTTTACAAAATTGATAAAATTTTCCGGTTACAGTGAACCTCCTTACAATTTTTGTTTTGGTCTCAGGAATAGTTATCATCCATGCAGATCCAAGATCTTGAATATCTTCAATATTCATAGAGAACATTTTTATGGAACGGCAAATAAGCCTCCATTATATCCTCCAGATATCAAAGTTAAAACTTAAAAGACTCTATAAGTCAATCTGACATTCGCGAAAGTCAAGCCGTGACGTGACCCGTGAAATGAAGCAGAGCCTTCTTGAGAAATTTGTTTGGTAGACTTGCTGGTTTTTCATTAGTCTAACCTTTTCAGTTGCTGTGGATCCTGAAAATTCTGAATCTGTGATTGGTCGAGTGCCGTTGAATAATGAGTTGGGATCCACGGTGTCTTGGAATCATCTTCATTCATCAATTACTAACCTATATGTAATCAATGTAGAATACGATAGTCGTAGAGAAAGATAGTATTTCAACTATATCATGTTGAATAACTAATATATTATCACAGCTCGTTCACTATCATCGTTGGTAGACAAACGAACAGTGGGTTAAAATAAATCAGCTTGTGGTCTTCCTTTTGGTATCTGAAAGGCGAGCGTCCACACAAGATTTTGTTGCTGGCGTCTTATTTGGTACTTCATATTATAATGGTATTATCATTTCACATTACACCTATTCTGATTCCGCAATGAAGTGATTTTGGTGAGTCGATTAGGTAATCAGTGTATTCAGTATTGTCGAGTTGTAATTTAGTACTAAATTTGGTAATAATTCAACACACTGTATGAAATTATCGCTGAAGGTCAAATATATCGATATTTTGTCTCTTTTTCTCAGGACTCTCTTCAATGTCTGGATCATTCACTACAAAAGAAGTGAAAACATTCCCAGGAAGGTTGTATATGACAATTACCAGAACCATACAAGAAGATTGATAAAATTTGGAACTCTCTCCCCCTCAAAGAGTACCACTGATGTAGTCTCCACAAGTAATGATCATGATAAGGAAAATGCATCAGATGCTGATGGAAATTATGTGAGGGTGAGATTCATGAATTCAATCAATTCAATATCAAATTCATATATCGATTCTACACATTTCTTGCAGGAACAGGATGATAAACTGTCGTTGCAATAATTGAATACGGTCCATTAAGTTAGTGGTAAAACAGTGTGTAATCTATTGTCAGACGAACTAGACAAGCCCAGTCAGCACATCCTTTCGTCGTCAACCTCGAAAGATGTCGAACAGCACTTTATCAAAACTCCTTCATCCATAGAACGGCTAGGCTATGGATTTCATTGCCTGAGGAAGTATTCCCAACAACATATAATCTCCAAAAGTTCAAAAAAATTCTAATACCTACCTCCTATCCCTATCCTTTCTAGGAACGCACGACGTTCTTTGAACATTATAGGGATTCCCTTTCGTGCGCTCCAAGCGATGAAAAAGAGGTTTGGGTCTTCGATATATCACATTTGTATCGAAAAATTGAATATACAGGGTGATCCACGTTCGAAATATGACGTCCGCGATGTTGAATTCAGAACTTCCGTCAAATGGGGTTGCCATTAAAAAAATACCGGTGACGTAATTTCTTCTATACACGAATCATTCTGTATGTATCAATTGAATTTGAAAGAATACCCGAGTAAAAAAAATCGACGGCTCCGAGCGTTCTGTAAAGAATGTATTCTCTCAAATTTTAACGAATTTATCCTCCACTTCACGAGAGCTCTAAATTAAATTGACGTACTGTATACGAACCCTATATGTGTTATATATTTTCGAATTAAGCTTCCTTTGAGATTCCAAATATTGAATGATTGGAAAAATTCTCGCAGACGTCATAACTCAAACGTGGATAACTACACTCAAAAAAATTGATGGGTTAAATCAACCGCCAGACATTCCACCCGTTGAGAGTCGAATGCCCGAAATCGTCTTCCGTCAACGCACTATCAGACGAATTTTGCTTGGTCTCAAAACGAATAAAGCTAACGGTCCTGATGGAATTCCACCCATTATCCTCAAAAAATATGCACCAGAGTTTACACCGATTCTCTGCAAGTTGTTTACCATCTCGTACAGGTCGGGTATTTTTCCATCATGCTGGAAGACAGCTAGAGTCCAACCAATCCCCAAAAAGGGAACAAGAACCTGCCCATCAACTACAGGCCCATTGCCCTGTTATCAGTAATCTCCAAAGTGATGGAGAAAGCCATTAATATTGAGCTTATCAAATATCTGGAGAGCTCAGGAATCATCAGTGATAGACAATACGGCTTTCGCCACCGAAGATCTACTGGAGATCTACTTGCCTACGTGACACATTTATGGCAAGCTTCATTAGAAAAATACGGGGAATCTCTAGCTGTCGCGTTGGACATATCGAAAGCATTCGACCGTGTTTGGCACGAAGGACTCCTCCACAAACTACCATCATACGGCTTACCACCTCAGCTATGCCATCTCTTATCGAGTTTTCTTTCAGGCAGATCGCTTCACGTGGTGGTGGACGGTGCATCGTCTGATACCATTGGCATCAATTCCGGCGTTCCACAAGGATCAATTTTGGCACCATTTTTATTCCTGCTTCATATCAATGATCTGTTGGGAGTAACAACTTGCCCCATCCACAGCTTTGCAGATGATAGTACCCTCCATACTGCGTTCTCTTCCAGAACTCCCATTTCTTCCCAGGAAACTAAGAACTCACGGCGCAGGCAGGTCAATGCTGTCAATGAAGATCTTGCTGAAATCACGGCCTGGGGAACCAACAACCTAGTTGAATTCAACGCCACCAAAACTCAAGCCTGCATTTTCTCTAGAAAGGTGGAACTCAGTATGCCCGATATTGTAATGTCTGGCTCCATATCCTCACCAAGCCCACAATATCTATGCTCGGTATTTCCATCAGCAACACTCTTTCATGGGATAATCATGTCAGATCCATCGCAAAAGCTGCTTCACAAAAACTTGGATTCTTGTTCCGTGCGAAAAGCTAATTTACACCTCAACAGGTTCTCATGATCTACAAAGCGCAGATACGGCCTGTTCTTGAATACTGTTCCCACATATGGGGTTCAGCACCAAAACATACGCTGATGCTCTTAGATTTCATCCAGAGAAGAGCCATTCGCCTGGTGGGTGACGCCACACTCACTCACTCCTCACTCTCATCAAAGTGACTCGCAAATTTTGCTTTCGCTCCGCCTCGCAAATGCAAAATTCGCTTGTCAAACAAAGTGTCACTTTTGATCCTAATAAAACAATCTACTATTTTGTGTTTGCGTCATAATATTTCTGCCTCCCAGCACCTTTGTCGAATAAAATTGAGCCCGCATCGCCTTTATATCACACTTAACGCCGGGCAGAAGATTCAACATTTTTAATCTAGGCAACCATGAATTCAACACTATTTTTGATAAGGCAACCTGTGAATAGAATAAGCTTTCCTTCGAATACCTGCCAACCCCATAGCTCTGGGCCTTGGGAAAAAAGGCAACCTACCTTTTTTAACTTCAGGGTATATTCGGTCAGCTGTCAATCAATTATGAATAACGAATGAGGAAAGTCTATCAAAATAATAAAATTAAACATATTATCATTTAACATCATCGAATCATCGGCACTTGAATCAGCTAGGCAACCTATTCGTCTTTAATCAATATATATGTATTATCTAACATTTATTCTTTGTGATCATTGAATATCAGATAGGGGTATACATATTTCTCATACCTCCTACTAATATATAGTACTCTGATGCACTAACCTTTTCTGAAGACAATCTTCGCAATGGCTATGAACGGCGATTCGAATGCTAGACACCAGACAGTTGCTACTATGAAAACGAATGCTAAATCTCCTGTGAAGTCATGAATCTGAAATGAGAAAGTCATTAATACGATTTTTCACCTGCTATCTAAACCGCTATATTATTTTAAATTGTTCTAAAATTATTCTATACGTCATTCGATTGCCTCTTCACCAGCAACTCTCAGAACTCTTTGAGAGACTTGTGCGAGCAAGGAATGATAAAGGCTTTTTTCACCTTTAAACCCGGCGAAATCACGTTATTTGCGGACGACACCACTATTTTATGGCAAGACAATAATGATGACACGAATGTGATGCGAGATATAAAAGTAATCAAAGATTGGTGTGACTCAAACCTACTTTCTCTCGATATTAAGAAAACCAATATTCTGATTTTTCATTGTAATGTCCCAAACTTGGAGATCGGTAATGACATATTAGAAAATGAAAAATCAACAAGATTTCTAGGTTTGTATATCGATAACAAAGCCGGCGTACCTCAGTGCTTCGATGCTTCAGTATCATTTCACGTCGAAGTATCGATCGTGGGTTCGAGTCCCACGAACGCAGACTTTTTCTGATGGCCTAAGAAAGTGTTTGGGATCACACGTTAAAAGGTAAGGCCCCCGTCATTCCTTGCTCGCACAAGAATTTCGAAGACTTCTGAGGGTCGCTCGTAAGGGGGCAACCGAATGACGGATAGAACAATTTTAGAACAATTTTTTAGAAAAAACAAGGTGATGTTCAATGACCATGTAGTATCTATGTGTAAAAAGCTATCATCTGGATGCAATGTCATCAGAATAATTGCCTCTGAATCTGCATCTGCCAAAACAACATAGTTTGCCCTACTTGAGTCCCACCTGAGATATGGAATAGCATTTTGGGGAAGCTGTAGTAATCAGTTATTCCAAAGGAGTTTTATGTTACAAAAGATCTGAGATATATGTGTCATGCAAAATCAACAAATTCTGGTAGAGAGTTGTTTAGGGATTGTGGTATACTAACTGTAATTTATTTATATAGGTATCTTGGATTCATAAGAATATACGGTCGTAACCACTTGTCTCCTCACAATATAATACAAGATAGTGGTGCCCGCGAGAGTCTCGTTTTCGAAAGTATTCAGACTATTTAGCACAGATAGACAAAACATTTTATTCTATTTTTATAACTTTCGAATATAAAAAACATAGCATTGCTATGTTTTTTTTCTTGTTTAGATGTATGATGTAAGTAAGTACCTATTAGGTACTCACTTTTCAACAAATAATGTTAATTTTGTTGTAATTTTCTCTTCCTACTCCTACATTATACCTAAAAAGTAGGTAAAGGTAAATATCCCGTACTAGACTGGAACAAGATTATGCATGACGAAATTGCGATACATTTACGAGACTCTCGTACGAGACGCGAGACAAGACGAGACTCTGGGCTGCGAGACGAGACTCGAGACAAGACTTCACATTTCATCGGCGAGACGAGACGGGCTTTATGAAAGTCTCGTCTCGTTGGTCTCGTGTGAATCACTAATACAAGACAGAGCGGCCAAATAAAATTGAACCCCTGCACCACTATATATACAATCATCTGCCAAATGCCATAAAAGGAATCGCATGTTACAAACAATTTCGTACTGAGGTGGAAGCATTACTACTACTACAAACATCATTGTACCAGGTGATTCAATATCGGTGACGAGGTACAGTATCTCAGGAACTAATACTTTATTAAACACGCCTACCACCCTAACGAGGGCGGTAAGAACCAGAATGGTATGTATGGATCTTTATTTTATTCACCAAACCTTCCTTTCTCGAACCATACCTTTTGTTAGCAAATTATTAGTTCCTGAGATACAGCTTCTCGGTTACCCGTATTGAATCACCTGGTACAACTTGACTGAGTATTTTCTGCAAAGCTTTAACCAGAGTCTTTCAAATTGTTGTGTACTTAGTCAGATCTATGCTTTGTCTATTGGATCAATTTATTTTTATTTTTTTATTTATACATTTCAAGTGTTGTCAACAAGTGTATGATTTTAAAACTAGTGTTGTTCATTTATTTATTTTTTGTGTATATTACGTGTAACGAGCTTTGTCAACAAGTGAGAACTTGAGACAATAAAGTATATTTTGAATTGAATTGAACGTGTGATCCCAGACACTTTCTTGGGCCGTCAGAAAAATATCTGCAATCATTTGGATTCGAACCCACAACCGGCAAGCCATCGCGATTAGAAAACTGAACGCTTATAACACTCGTCTACCTGGGCCCTTATCCAGATTTGCTCATCTCAAAACGCGCAGGAGAACTCCCAAACATGATATCGAGTCATGTTTTATTTTGGTGTTCAGTTAATGAATGATCTTCCTCATCTCATGGTATTATGGACGTAGATACTAATACAGGGTATGTCACGACGAGCTTACAGTATATTTATACAGGGTGTAAATCTGAAAACTTCCAATGCGAATATCTCGCGAAAGAAAAAAGTTAGAAGAACGCCGTTTGGCAAAATTGCTAAAGAGTTAAGGGGAACTAGAACCACCATATTTCGGTCAAGGGATGAGTCACCCCGTCGGCGCGACACACCCCAACTTTGAAATGTCAAATGGCACTACCTTTTTTGTGATGCCTCAAATGAACAGTCTCAGTCAGTAGTATTCACCTGTACAAGACTTTTTTTTCACCCACTACAGGGTGTACGAAAAATATAAAGTCGAATAAAATGAAATGAATTGTGTTAAGAGGATATTTTATTTGATCAGATGTTCAAAATGCATTCCATTCTGTTGTAAGCAATAGTATAATCGATGTTCAAATGCCATTCTAACATTCCGGAACACATCTCTTGGAATATATCGGCTTTCTGCATTTCATTTTATTCGACTTTATGTTTTCCGTTCACCCTGTAGTGGGTGGAAAATAAGTCTTGTACAGGTGAATACTACTGACTGAGACCGTTCATTTGAGGTATCACAAAAGAGGTAGTGCCATTTGACATTTCAAAGATGGAGTGTGTCGCGCCGACGGGGTGACTCATCCCTTTACTGAAGTATGATGGTTCTAGTTCCCCCTAACTCTGTAGCATTTGTGCCAAACGGCGTTTTCCTAACTGTTTTATTTAGCGAGATATTCGCATTGAAAGTTTTCAAATTTAGACCCTCGAATTAATGTTTTTCGTACACCCTGTAGTGGGTGGAAAAAAAGTCTTGTACAGGTGAATACTACTGACTGAGACCGTTCATTTGAGGTATCACAAAAGAGGTAGTACCATTTGACATTTCAAAGTTGGGGTGTGTTGCGCTGACAGGGTGACTCATCCCTTCACTGATATATGGTGTTTCTAGTTCCCCTTAACTCTTTAGCATCTTTGCTGTGTTTTTCTAACTTTTTTATTTCGCGAGATATTCGCATTGAAAGTTTTCAAATTTACACCCTGTATAGTGAATCAGTCGCAAGAAGTTTATGGAAATGTGCTTGCTCATATTTGTGGTTATGATCTCATCGTTAAGAATATTTTCGACAATGCAGTGTTGCCGCTTCTATTAAAAAGTAGTTGCAACTTCGATATAAAGATCGTGTCAGCTCGTCGTGTGTGTTTATAGGGTTCACCGTTTAGAAGTTATGCGCACTAAACTTATTAACCAATGTAATATCATCCCAGAAAGCTCGGTACACATTATTAACTCAAATTTGGATACATACCGATTTAATATTGCTGAAATGATCCGGATGTTTCTTCTCTCCAATGAAATATATCAGAACTGGAAAGTGGGTGAGATAAACGCTGTATGAGATTCTGACCAGAATCTGGAATATTGGAATCGATAGAAAATCGTTGATAATACCTAAAACAATATACAGGGTGTTTGGTTCACCGACGAATATCTGAAAGGGGACGTTATTTGACCCAGTATGCCTTTTGGAGGTTATCATCATGTATATATTCAAAAATAATGATAATAATGATAGGACTTTAATAGGCGAAAGTTCAGCTACAAAGCTATTCTTACACTTTAACCTAAGTGCATAATATATGTATAATAAGTATAGGTAATTTGAGATATTTTCCAAGAAAACAAACTGAATCTAATTTATATTCTTTATATAACTTTTCATTTTTCTATTTTTCGAGTTGTGGAAATATTAAATGACGTAGAAGTAATCTGTGCATTTAGGTAGATTGTGTTCTTTGTTCATCAAGAATTTTCTGTTTTAGCTTCATTCTGAATGACTCGATACTCAGATTTTTAACGTTATCATCTAGAGCATTATAAATTAGTGGTAGTTGGTAGGAGAAAGATGCTTCAAATCTACTGGTGGAGTAGTGTGGGATGTTCACAATAGCAAGATTCCTCATATTGAGGTTATGCAATTGATGACGAAATTTTATTTTTTCATAAAGGTAGTAGGGACATTTCTCATTGATAATCTTATGGAAAGCAGTAGTGGCATGTAGAAGACGACGTTTTTTCATGGAAAGCCAGCCCAGAGATGAAATATATTGAGTGATATGATCAGATCTACGCAAAACCCAGATCAGTCTAGTGCAGTTGTTTTGCATTTTTTGAATTCGATAACAGTCAAAGGAGTCGATACATGGACCATATACTTTATCGCAATTGTTGAAATTAGGTAGAAGAACTAGTTGATCACACAGCTTTTTTTTAAATCAAGAGATAGTAATCGTCGACTTGAGTACAGCAATTAAAGACACCCGTAAGCACGCTGAATAGATTTGCTGACGTGTTCCGTGAATCGATTAATTCGACATTCATTGCCAAATAATAGGTAAGTGGATTTTGTGGGATTAATATGAAGATCATGTTGCTTTCAGAGGTTGATAATTCCATGTGAATCTTTGTTGACGAAATAGTTTGCTAAGTAGGCATCTTCGGGATGAAAACTATAATATAATTGGCTATCATCAGCATAGAAGTGGCTCTTACAGTCTGACAGGCAATTAGATAATTCAGCAGTATATATAAGGAATAAAAGTGGTCCCAGAATCGATCCCTGAGGAACACCATTATGCAATTTGAGGGATTGAGATTCACTATTGTTATTCTCAACTATTCGACTTCTTTCACTAAAGTAGCTTCGGAAGAAATTTTGTGCTGTCAAGTTCAACCCATAATATTTCAGCTCAGAAAGTAAAAGTTGGTGGTTTAGAGTATCAAAAGTTTTTGTGAAATCTAACATTACCAAGGCTGTAACTTCATGATTATCCCATTCTCTGATAATATCATCACATATATTTAGCATTGCCGTGGCAGTGCTGTATTCCTCCCTGAAAACTGACTTCTGAAAAGGAATGATGAAGTTTGAATTACAGTTATGTATAGTGTTGCTTTCACACGATTTTCTCTAAGAGTTTCGATAAAATTGGAAGGATGCTAATAGGACAAAGATCTGGAAAACTGTTGGGCTCGCTGTTTTTAGGTATAGGCCGAATTCCAATATGATGGAAAATAACCTTGCTCTAAACAGAGGTTAACAATATGTGTGATTGATAATGAAACTGCTGGCAAACAGTATGATATGATAGTCCGAGTCGATACCAACAGCATCACTTTTAATATCATGAAAAAGTTCTTCCACATCACTGACAGATATAAATTTCAATTCGAATTTCAGTGTATCATTAAATCTGTTAGAATCATAGTAATTGATACGTTCAGTGCAGTCTTCATTTAGATTTGCTGCTATTGATGTTAGTCGTAACTTTCATATCTTTTAGAGTTTTCCACATGTCACGAGATTTGTTACATCGATTCATAGCAAAGTTCAAATATGCCTTTTTTTCTCATCGAATGGCACTCAACGTGAGATTACGTAACATCTTGTATTTTGTTAAGTCTGAACCTAATTTTGAATGTTTGTATTTTCTAAGAGCTTGGTCTCTATCTGCCATCATCAATTTAACTACATCAGTCAGCCATGGAGCTTAAGGTTTAGTAACTCTAACAGTTCTCACTGAAGCATGCTTGTCAAAGTGAAATAGTTCACACTCTGAGCATTCATTGACGTATCTAGAAAGTGCATGCAAAATATTGAGCTTTATTTAAGAAATGTCTCGAGCATCAAATAGACGTGACAAAATTTTTAGGTCTCTATATCGACGAAAAATTATTATGGACTAAACATATAGACTATTTGAGAAATAAAATGAATCCGATCATAGGCATTTTATTCAAAATCCGAAATATTATTCCCATAAAATACTTGAAATGTATTTACTTTTGCCTCATTTATTCAAATTTGCAATATTTAATTTCTATTTGGGGGAGTACAAATATTTCACGTCTGAAACCACTAATGAAATTACAAAACAAATCAATTAAGTGCATTTTTCATCTACATTTTCTAGAACCAACGATGAATTTATACAAACCAAGACATTTTCTGAACCTGATTTCGTTATATAAACTTAAAATATGTTGCTTTATTCATTTTGCCAGAAATAAGTTGAAAATATCAAATTTAGCTTTCAATGAAGTCAATACAGTCCATAATTATGGGACTAGACAATTGAATTACTTGATAGCAAATACATTCAAGTCAAACATTGGCAAACAATCTGTTTTTCACAATGGAATAATTCATTACCGAATGAGTTGAAAAATATACATGATGCAAGAAGGTTTAAAATCAATCCTAAAAAATACTTGCTCAGGACAATTTGAAAGAAAAATATGTGGCATGATTTGATTACTTAGGAATGAAATATAACTTTTATCTTATAAGACACAATATTAATTCGTTTCCACTGAGTGGAATTCATTATAGTTAACCCTTCATTATTATTTTTTTATATCTATTTGTGTATCCCTATCATAAACAGAAATGTTTCTTGGGGTAATAAAGACAATCAATCAATCAACTTTGATCGGATACCATGTTCTTCAATATAGACACGGAGATAACTTAAATAAACAAATATACATGGAGATAACTCAAATAAACAAAATATCATAGATACAGTATTCGGAAAAGCATCATAACAATAGTTTCAAGGAACCTCATATACCGTCTTCGTTTCGCGAGACTATTATTTAAATTATGCTCTGATTGCAATGCTGAATACGTTGGTCAGACAGGGAGAGCTTTTTCCACCAGGATAGCAAAACATAAAAAGACAATTGACAAATATATTAACTCTGATATTATCAACACTACATCTTCTTTCGCAAACCATGTTCTCGAGAATAAACACAAACATAATATAGTAGAAGATTTTGAAGTTCTACATGTTCATCCTAAAGGAAAAAAGCTTAACCTTCTGGAAATTCTAGAAATCAATAGATCTGCCCATTCAAATTCAACTGTTTGTCTTGATGAACAAGTTAGATTTGATTGCCTATCCACTTTCAATTCCATTTTGTAATCTTCCTCTCCATTCATTGGTTGCATTGGCAATCCCTTTGTTTGATGTTGTTATTCCTAATTCAAAAAACACAATTTTAAATACCCGACTTAGTCAATCTAGACACATTTCCTTGTTTGTTATGAATTTTGATGTATGGTCCATTAAGTCAACTTCATTGTTTTGTGTTTTTGATAGATGACATTTGTCACTTGTTTGTCGAATAATAATTTTTTATCTTTCAAATCAAGTAGTCTGTCGGTTTGTTCACTTCATAACCGCGCCATTTGCTGTACACAATGTTTATCTGATCCGAAAGAAGCATCTTAGGAAAAATGTTTATTTGGGGGTTCAAAAAACCAAAATTCAAAAATGTTGCTTGAAATTATTTTGGGCTTAAAACCCTTAAGAACTATGTTCTCAATTTTATAGTTTCTTTTCTCCTCCTACCTAGCAAGGTATGTCACCCATTTTCCAATAGTGATGGAACTTCTTTCATTTATAAGTGTTGTATTTTAGCCTGATGATGACTCCTAGGAGTCGAAACATGTAGCATATATGATTTGGTTATAATTTACTTGGAGCGAGACTTTGAGTTTGTTCTCTTAATTATTTAAATTACTATTTATACCTATACTCACCTCCATTGCCAGTTGTGCACAAAAGAACTACAGTTCCCACACCTATAGCCCATCCTTGTCTAGCCAAAGAATTGAATAATGCAGATTTCAATGCACTGTATTCATGAGTTCTAGTAAACACTAAATGTACAAAAATTAGAGCGAAGAGGAGACCTAGTGTAAACGTCCAAGCAATCAAATTAGCAACCTGTAATGTTCAAAATGTTTTAAGTCAAAAGTCAACAGATCATGAAGTAAATCATGAAAATCATCCATTTCTCAAAGTGGTTCCAATAGTTTTGAAGAAGACCAACGAAAAACACTAAGTCAGTCGACAACACTTTATAATAAAGGTGAAAAATATTAACAAACAATACATACAGGGTGATTCAAAAGTAAGCGGCATCCTTTCAGAGGCGTATTCCTTGCATGAAAATAAGGCAAAAAGTTCCTATTGATAAGGATCCGAAAATGCTTCCTAAGGGAGCTACGGCCCTTTGAATAGGACACCTCAAAGACGGTTTTTTCTCTATAACTTTAAAATCCTTCACAACAAATTTTTAAAAATTGGTGTACGGCATAAACATTCGATGGTAAATAGGACTCCGTATTCGAAATAATTTCCAAACGAAATCACAGTAACCTGAATATCCGGAGAAGAAGGGATATTTTTACACTTACCCTCTCCCGCATGTGACGCCCCTGAATGAAATTCTGAAATTTCGAATACGGAGTCCTATTTACCATCGAATGTTTATGCCGTACACCAATTTTTAAAAATTTGTTGTGAAGGATTTTAAAGTTATAGAGAAAAAACCGTCTTTGAGGTGTCCTATTCAAAGGGCCGTAGCTCCCTTAGGAAGCATTTTCGGATCCTTATCAATAGGAACTTTTTGCCTTATTTTCAAGCAAGGAATACGCCTCTGAAAGGATGCCGCTTACTTTTGAATCACCCTGTATATTGTTAACGTTTTTTACCTTCATAAAGTGTGGTCGACTGTCTTTGTATTTTTCGTTTGTATTCTTTGTGATCATGAAGTATATCTACTTGCGACTTATATATTATATTAAGAATTTCCTTTCGTGCGCTCCAACATAAAAAAGAATTTCGGAAATATATTTTAATAATTTCAAAATGGACAGGAATCATTAGTGGTCAGCATCAAATACTAGGTACATGATGAAACTGCAGAGTATACTGAATACTTTGAAACTCGGAAGTGAAAATATATAACAGCAAGCCATTTGATCTCTAATTTCTGACAGGATTACTGTCGATAGTATTCTCATGTTATTGTTTGCTCGCTCACATGTGATTTCAATACTCTTTCACCATGTAGGTGCAACCTACTACTAGCCTAAAAAGAGCTTTTCCAACCACTAGCTATAGATCCTACCATTATTTACTCCTTTTCATGGCCTCACGTGTGTTTTTACTACCACGGTAGCACAGATTAACAAGTTTGTTGGTAGTTTTCGTCATTTTATGAACTACTAGTAAATAAAGACATAGCCACCTCTGTTATTAACCCGAATTCACTGTTCAGATGCGAGACTCGCAAGAATAGCACTCGAATCTAGTAACTTTTATCAATAACGACTTGTCATAATTATGCAGTCATGGTTAAGGCTACTAGATTTCAATTAGAATTGAATAGAAGTGATTTCATAGTGACAATAGGTCCATTTTCCAGTTTCACACAGTGGTGAAAAAGATGTAATACAGGGTGTCCCAGAACAACGTACATTAAATTCAACAGGGTGAACCAGAGTTAAAAATAGGTCGATTGTGACCAACTCACCTCTGTACGAAAATGCACCGTTGGGCCGTGAGAGGGCGATGGATGGAATTTTTTTTTCAGATTTCATTGAATATTTCAATTTGAGAGGTGATGCTCTGAAATCTGGAAGGCATGTTCATGTTGATATTTTGGTCACGTATTCATGTTAATTATTTAATAACCTATTCATCATACAGGATGGCCCATTTTCAACTTGACAGGGAGATTTTGGGTGATTATAGCGTAGATACGAAAAAATGCTCAGATCGGTCGATTTTAGTTTGCACCTCCTGCTAACAATCAAAGTCGTTTGCAGGTTTTTTTCGTTCTGTTGAGAGTTCGGGGGCACAGATATCATATTGATTTCAGCAAGCTCTTCATTTTATGAGTTCATCAAATCAATAATTCAAAAATAAACTGGATCTCAGAGACAAATAATAATTATAATAATAATAATAAATGATAATAGGAATAATAATAATTTCCTATTCATCCTCCTTCGAATGGAAATCACTACAAAAATGCAATACACAAGGTATCCAAAATAGTTGCTACTCCATAAATATCAAACAAGTAGAAAGAATATTCGGAAAGTTAATAATCAATAATCATCAATTATCAAACAGAAAACATGTTTTTATTGAATAATGAATAAATAATCGATAACTATTGCAACAGTCAAGAAAACAAAAAAAGAAAACGAGAATAATGGTGGTATCAATCGAGCAAATGCTCGAAATGTCTCCCATCATTCTCCAAACATAAACGAGCTCTTTTCACGCAGTGGAATCGTATTTTCTGAAATATTCCTGGAATATTGCGAAACTTATCAGCTGCTGATGGGTTTCTTACTAAGCAATGATTGAGCAGAAGAAGTAGTTGATATGATTTGATATCTGTGCCCCCGAACTCTCAACAGAACGAAAAAAAACTGCAAACGACTTTGATTGTTAGCAGGAGGTGCAAACTGAAATCGACCAATCTAAGCATTTTTTCGTATCTACGCTATCATCACCCAAAATCTCCCTGTCAAGTTGAAAATGAGCCACCCTGTATGATGAAAAGGTCATGAAATGATTAACATGAATACGTGACCAAAATATCAACAATGAAGGAGGAAGAAATCTGCAGAACACAATAACTCTGATATCTTGGATTATGGATGATATGGAGGGACTCCGAAAGATTTTTTTCAGATATCTCGTAAACCAAGCAATATTCAATAAAATCTGAAAAAAAATTCCATTCATCGCACTCTCACGGCCCAACTGTGCATTTTCGTATAGAGGTAAGTTGGTTCCAATCGACCAATTTTGAACTCTAGTTCACCCTGTTGAATTTAATGTATGTTGTTCTGGGACACCCTGTACATATACACCTTAGTAGTAAAGAAAATTATTACCACAGGACCTTATACCTCTCGGCTGAAGCCTCCGGATATAATCTTGGTCCTTGGGTAATAATGATATTCTTTACTACCTTGGTGTATAAATAACTATTATGACATTCATCAGAAACAATCATCTCTAGGTCAACACCATCATCAAATTCAATTTGTTTCTCAACATTTTGTCATAACTTACTTTGGGTATTTTCATATCTCGATATTTGTAGATGAGGAAACCAAAAACAAATCCAATAAGCCATGGTGGCATGCGAACAAATGTAGGTTGATAAATATATTGCTGGTATGATTTATTGAATCTGAAAGAAACATAGAAAAATATAAATATAATCTTTCTACAATCGACACCTACAATAACCTGTTCTTCTGTGTTTCCTCAACCTGCTAAACCTGATTTTCTGCTATGGCCATCTCTGTTTAGGTAGTACGATGAACAGACATGAACACAGATCAACTTTGGCAGGTCGAACAAAACTCTAGCGAACAGACCTGATATTTGTCATGTCGCTTGTAGTATCAAAACAAAGACATTTACAGTATAAAATATTATGAGAGTGAGGACACACTTGTCACGTCTTGAAACAGCTGACGAAAAACATGAGATACGAGTATATCTCCACACTCTCTTTTAAAAATATAGACTGATGAGTTTCTGTACTTTTCCATTGAACTATGGCAGACATATCATTTATGCACAAGTGTTCACACATAATGGTTTTCTGGAACTCACTATTTGAAAACACAAAAAAAAGTATGATCAATAATAAATGTATATTCAGATAGATAGATGATACACAAATAAGGTTATTCACAATATTTTCAATGAAAAAAATGGTTAGGTACTGAGGATATAGATGATTCATAGGAAAATTGGAGTCACTAAGAGCTTAAGAATTATCAATTATCAATGCATCCCTCATTCCCACATTTTTACTTGCTTTGTTTTCATCGGAAGTTTCAAGTTTTTCTCGTTCGATTCTCTTTGTTTCCTTCACAAATATACAATACGAAGTCTAAATGAAGAGAATTTTTTTTAATTGTTTATTTCGAAAGTTATTCATTCTATAAAAGGGTGATGCTGTATCGTCTCTCAATATTACTGTTTTCCGTATTTTTACGATGAAATCATCTTCATTGAAGAGTGCCTGAAATACACTTCAAAAATGATGAAACTAGTGAAAAGTGAAAAGTTATCTTTTTAGAAATATTTATCTCGAAAATGTTCAACCAAATAGGCCTCTTGATGTTATTTTTCCATTCCATTTCCAAGGTACCGCTTATTTGATGAGTTTTTACAATTATTAGTCACAGAACAGTGGTTAATTTTGCACTTATATCAAGCGATGTTTTTTTTTCCAAAATCATCAATGGTTTCTACGTATTCTTGTCTCAAAAATACGAAATTGATAATGGAAATCTGAACAAACCACTATTTTTCGAGATATTTCACGAAAAAGTTCTAAATTTCACCTACTTTATTTGCTTGTTTTTGAACTATTTGCCCTTTCTTTTTTCATCATGGGACATCACGATGTACTTCAGAACAGAAAATAAGTACTTTCCAATTTCGTTTCTTTTTCTCTGAAACGAAGCATTTAATCGAGTATCAACAAGATGATTCTCCGTCGTTGCTCACTTTTGGGTGAAATATAAACAATAATATTCCCGTAACGGTGCCACTGGTACAGAAAATGATAATTTTTGTATATACATCAGAAAATGCACCTTGATGCATAAAAGACGTGTTTCAAATTGCATGGAGATGTAAACAATATTGTCTCATTCATCATCAAAAATCTGAATATTTTTCTAAACTTCATCATCCTGTATCTCAAAAGTTGAGACTTTCAGGAAATACGTTCATATGACGTTTTCTTCCTAAAATGAGTCAAAGAATCACCCCCTCAAATATAAGCATGTCTTAAAAAGGAACACCCTGTATATAAAAAAATACATTGAGAATTTGCAATCTCTATGTGATTAAAATATCAATTCTTTCTCGGTTTATTCAACAGGAGACAACTACTTTCCTGGCCATACCCTAATAACACACTTATGTCCTATGTATATCCTAAGGACGCCCTGTCGTGACATTCAGGACGTCCATAGGACGTTCGAATTTGGTACCGTGGACGTCCATTGGACGTCTGTAGGACGCACAAATGTTCCACTTGAGGACCAATTAGGGACATCCTTGAGGAATGTCCCTGGGACAACTATCGAATACCTAAATCCTACAGTATTCCTCATCAAGCACTACAGAGGACATCCTTAGGACATCCATAGGACAACCTATCAGCAACGCTGAGGGATATCAATTGGATGTTCATAGGATGTGCCAGGGACGTACGAATCATTCTTGAATTTTGATTTTTCTGAGTCCCTCTAGGACCAGATTTTGCATAACTGATTAGGACATCCAGTTGAGTAGATGGTCCGTAGAAGGTGCCCAAAAAGTGTCACAAGGATGTACAATGGACCTACGTGAAGGACATTGACGAGGAGTACTTATAGCCTACGAGCAATCATTCGTCGGCGAGGTGTAAGTTAACGTCCTCGCAGGGACAACATATTGAAAGTTCCGACTGGGACGTCCATAGGACGTTATTTCTAGGACATTGAAAGAGTACAGTTCATGTACCAATTGGGACATCCGACGGATATCCCTAAGGGACATTCGAAGGATGTCCCTAAGGGACATTTCGATTGTTATACGATCCTGGAAATATTAAGGGCGTCTGTGCAGAGATATTTGAAGGAATGTACCATCAGGGACATTTCATGGTTGTCCAGAAGGGACAATATGTAAGATCAGAAGTCATGCCAGAATATCTACTACTAGGGACATCCGATGGATGTCCCTAAAGGAACGTTTAAAATCATATTCCATCAGGGACATGCCAAGGACGTCCTTGCATGGACATTCTACAATATGTACCACGTGGGACGTCTAAGGGATGCTATTTCTAGGACATTTGAAATGATGTACCAGCTGGGACATTCCGTGGACGTCCTTGCTCGGACATTGCATAAAATTTATACGGGATGGGACGTCCCAAGGACACTTATTTTTGGTTCGGGACATTCGGACGTGAATTGTACCAAATAGGGACGTCCATAGGACGTTGTGTGCTATTAGGGTATGCCACGACGAACATTGAATTACATCTATTGAACACCCAAGATGAGAATTTGAAAACAAAATCTTCTGAATTAGAAAAGCATTCTCCTTCAGATAAAAATATTTATATACACATAATATCATTCTGAATATTCGACAGAAAACAAATAGTTTCCTGACCTGATTTGCTACGTCGAACATTGAAAAGGAGAGTATGAAAAATAAAAGTCCTCTGAAATTGAGAACTGACATTCTCTTCCAAATCGGATGAAATAATATGATGTATTATAATATAAAAATATAACTTACCAATATGTTCAGTATTGAAATGAAAATTGAAATGTATAGGAGAAGTATACTTGTATAAACTCTGATCTTGATGAGCTTGGAATTTCGAAAAAACTCATTCGAATCTGTGATATGGGAATTATATCTCTCACAAAAAAACATATACAGAGAAGTGCACAAAAAACGACCAGTGCTGTATCTTCTGAATCATTCTAGATCGGATTTCGAAAGTTGGTGGGTAGCAAGTATACCAAATTGTTCATCAATTGACAAAACAATTTTTGTTCAATAACTTCCGGTCTCACCAGAAACGACCCTAACTTTTTATTTTTGGGACACCCTGTATTTCATTCTGTGACATCTGTCTAATTATGTGACGCACATGCGCCAATGTATCTTCCGGTTAAGTCCAGGCTAGAGAAGCCAGTCTTCAATCACGCTTGCCCTAGTCATGTATATAGTTTCAATCATTCAATATAGTTCATGCTGGTAATCACCATCAATAAAAGTACGACAAATAATAAAAGGTGTTTTATTGAAGTAGTAAATCATCACACATTCCATAATCGGTTAGGGATTATTATGACGAATTCAACGATACCGGGTTTGATAGGGTTAATTCGAACGACTACGAAGATATTCGCGTTCTAAGTTTCCATTTGCTCAATAAGTGGGACAGAGAAAGAAGTTTCGATATTGCGAAGTCACACCCATTGAGCATATGGAAACTCAGAACGCGAATATCTTCGTAATCGTTTCAAATAACCCTATCAAATCTGGTATCGTTGAATTCGTTATGATAATCCCTAACCGATCATGGAATAAAATACATATCAAAAGATTGGGTCTTTTCTAGTGAAACCGGAAGTGATAGAACAAAAATTGGTTTTCTGTTTCGGGCCAGGAGCAATTTCACTTCCAGTCAGCTGCTTATGATCTATAAGGCACAGATCCGAACTGTCCTGGAATACTGTTCCCATATTTGGAGTGAAGCACCCAAACATACCCTGAAACTGTTGAATTCTGTCCAAAAAGGGCAATTCGTCTCGTGGGTGATGCCATGCTCACAGACTCACTCACTTATTTATTTATTTATTTATTTATTTATTTATTTATTTATTTATTTATTTATTTATTTATTTATTTATTTATTTATTTATTTAATGTTACACTGTTCTACAGGTTGAACCCAACTACAGAACAGGGAAATAAGTATAACCAGGTATAACTAATAATACAGTTTTTCATATTTTGAAAAGTATATAAATATAGGCAAGACCTTAGCTGAAATAAAAAGATTTAATCGCAGAGATAGAGCAATGAAAGATATCTGGCTGATTATTTGATGAATTATTGTATAAAGAACACATGTTATGGAGAGGAGAATATTTCCAAATATTTGTTCGTGGTGTCGGAAGATAGAATGTATTGAAAACTCTATAAGTTTGTCTAGGCACAGTGAAACTCAGCTTCTACAAAATGTATAGTGATAATGTTATTCACCACTTTGAAAAGGAACACTGTGGATTGACAATCACGACGGTAACTAAGGCTTTTCATAGCATGTCTAGCCAATAATGTATTATGAGGAAACCGATTGGTGGATATACATTATCAGATCTATAGGAAAGAAGTTTTAGGAAACGACGTTGTACTGATTCAACTTTCTCTATATACAGCTGATGAGACTGATTCCAAATTGAAGATGCATATTCCAGTTTTGATCTGACGAAAGCATAATATAATGTTTTTGATGTGGCTGAATCAGAAAAATCTCTAGAGATCCGCGCTATGAATCCATACATTCTGTTTGCAGCAGACAAAGTAGCTTCAATATGCGGTGTGAATGAAAGTTTTGTGTCAAAGGTGACACCTATATCGGTAAATGTGAGCGGACGTTGAAGTATTGTATCACTAACATCATACGGAAATAAAATGAGATGATTTCTAAGTGTATATGTCATCACATTACATTTGCGAGCGTTCAAAGGTAATTTGTTACTGCACCATTGTTCAACGCGTTTCAGATTTAGAGATAGCCGTTCACAATCCTCAATATCATTTATCTGACAATATATCTTTAAATCGTCTACATACATCAAAACATTGACATCAATTACTTCGATTATGTCATTGATAAAGGCATTGAAAAGTAGCGGACCTGCTACCTTGAGGGACACCCGAGGTTGCTGCATATTCGACAGACTTGAAACCATTGAGCATAACATATTGACGCCTATCAGTAAAATATGAAGCAAAATGTTGGATAAGTGCCAAGGAAAATCCGTAACGGTATTGTTTCTCTGGAACACCGTAGAAAAGTTGGCGATCTGGCTCTATTTTATAGATATTTTGATGGACGATGCTCTTTTGAAATATCAACAATTTTTCCTCCCTTGGCAGTCCCCGCGAGATTTACCCGTCGAGTTGAGGCTTCGCACCCCTCCGTGGACACTTTGGAGACCTGCGGAACATCTCTTTCCGAAGACTCGTTCATCCAACGAACAGCGAGGCTCTGAAATACATTGCCAAGGAAGGTGTTCTCCGAGGCATATATTTATTTATTTATTCCAGTTATTGCATTACATTCTCTTCTTCATTGATACATTTCATACAAATAATATATAAAGTATAATTAATTTTCTAGTAGGAATGACATGAATGATCAGACAGTAATTCCTGGTATAAGATCATTCATGAAGTATTATCGACTGTTGTATAATTGAAATTACAAATAGTGAACAAAACTTACATATCATTAAGATACAGACATATTATAGTGAACAAGAAGGGGGAAAATAAAAACAGTAAAAAAAAAGAAAAAAGGAAATTCATAGTCTTTCAGCTTTGATCATTCCTTTGCATATAAATATATTTCTTAACTTTATTTTTGAATTGCTTAATATTTGGGCTGTTTTTGATATCATCTGGTAAATTATTGAATTTCGAAATCGCCTCATGTGTGAACTTTTTTTGTCCAAGTTTAGAATTTGCAGCTTCAAGATGAAACAAGTTATATTGTCTAGTGTGATGATCATGAATTTCGGAATTCCTGATTAATATAAAATTTGATTTAAGCTTTTTGTTGATGATATAATAGGAAATTGTATTGATTAAAAAGTGCTCTTCCAAAGAAAATGTGTTTGCTTCCTTATACAGTTGATTCGTTGGAGTATCATATGGAAGACGATACAATACTTTCAATGCCTTTTTATATAGAACAGAAATTTTGTTGAAACTATTTTTGGAACAAGATCCCCAAATATTTATGAGATAGTTAATTCGACTGAGTATATGTGAATAGAGAATAATATTTGATGTATATGTACTAAGTTTAGGACATCTTCTCAAAGCACCAATAATGGGAGATACTTTTCCTATGAGGATGTCTATACAGGGTGTTCATTTCAGGACTTCCCACCCTAATTTTCTCGAAATGTGTGTATGTTTTTGAAAAATCCCGAGACACTTCAACTACATTTTCGAGGGGGACATGGTTCTAAAATATTTTCAGACCCGCGGCGTTGCCGCTTCTAACGAAAAGAAGCAACAACTTTGTTATTTCAAATGGAACACACTGTATTTCATTGCATTTTTAGATTCTCCCTGAAAAGCTGATTTCATCAATGCATCACACTTGGGGTCTAGCAGGAATGATTACAGAGATATAGGGTGTTCAAAATCGAGATTTTACAACTTTAGGATTTTTTTGAGTCGAAACTATTCATTATTGGTCAAAACGGCTTCCATGTCCCTATCTCAACTTTTGATCTACTATCTACTGACATTTATTTGAAACAAATACAGGGTGATCAAAAGTCTGAATCTTGAACCACCCTGTATTTGTTTCAAATAAATGTCAGTAGATAGTATATCAAAAGTTGAGATAGGGACATGAAAGCCGTTGTGACCAATAATGAATAGTTTCGACTCAAAAAAATCCTAAAGTTGTAAAATCTCGATTTTGAACACCCTATATCTCTGTAATCATTCCTGCTAGACCCCAAGTGTGATACATTGATGAAATCAGCTTTTCAGGGAGAATCTAAAAATGCAATAAAATACAGGGTGTTCCATATGAAATAACAAAGTTGTTGTTTCTTTTCGTTAGAAGCGGCAACGCCGCGGGGCTCAAAATATTTTAGAACCATGTCCCCCTCGAAAATGTAGTTGACGTGTCTCGGGATTTTTCAAAAACATACACACATTTCGAGAAAATTAGGGTGGGAAGTCCTGAAATGAACACCCTGTATGCTTTCCCCATGTTAATTTCTCATCAATCCAAATACCAAGGTATTTGGTATGGGCAGTTTGTTTCAAACGTTCATTTTTTATTCTAATATTCAGGTCAATATTTTGTTTATTTCTTTGACGAAAAATCATATATTGAGTCTTATTAGAATTGAGAGAAAGAAGATTGGAATAAAGCCATTTCTCAACTTTTTTCAAGTCCTCATTTATGATATGTTCTAGAACTACTGGGTTTTCATTCTCATATATAACCTTCAGAAATTCAAGAACACCAATTCCTACCTTATTTCTCTTGTTTCTCACGATGTTCTCTGAACATTACAGGATATCCCTCTTCGTGGGAACCAAATTGGTATATTGCTACCCACCATTTTTCAAAATCCGATCTCAAATGATTCAGAACTTACAGAACTGGCCGTTTATTGTCCTTTTCTCTGTATATCGCTAGAGATGGAGAAAAATTAATATACCCCTTGGTAGTTGAGAATATTATTACCACGGGACCTTCGGGATATAATCTTGGTCCCTGGGTATAATAATGATATTCTTTACTACCTTGGTGAATAAATAACTATTGTTTCAGACCAGTCGTACTTACTCGAAATAGATAGCTCCATAGTTGTTTTGCATCGTTATGATGAAGGTATATAGTCCAGATGCAACGCAAGCAGCCACACAAGCCAAACAAGTTTTCCATGGCCGCTTGATCAAATTCATCAGTATGATTGGTGATACGAAAAATAATTGAGAATCCACTGACAGATACCAAGAATGTTCAACACACTGGAAAAAATCATTGTTATTATACAAATTAAGGACTTACTACCCCCGTAAAATCGTAAGTATCTGATTGATTTCGAAAAACAATTTTTTGTTGAATATTTGAAATGTCTATTTATCAAGATCATGATTTTATTCTTGGACTATTATCCTGGCCAACTGCAACCTATTTGATTGACCCATATTACAAAAAGTACAATTGGAATTGTTTTTCAGAAATATTTGAATGATGAAAATCGATACAGATATGTTTGAAGTAATCCCCGATAGTAATTCGTCAATAGTTCTTCCTATCAAAAGTGACCAATTTAGCCTACCCTGTACATATCGTCACTGTGAAATCAAACCGACGTATCTGCAGAATCACTATTTTTCACCAGCGCGATTGAAAGTTTCTCTACTCGATTATTTATTTATATCTACTTGGTCTTTCTTCTCAGAGCTATCTTTTTTGTGCATAAAATTGAGTTCGGTGACAAATAACGAGAATATTGTCTGGCAAAAAAATAGCAGATATGTAGGAATATATGACTTCAAAGTTAAAAATACGGGTATGATATGCAAAAGTGCCTGGATCACCTGTGCAGATTAGAGGAAGTATAGTATTGTGAGATGATGCGGTTTCACTTTATAGACTTTCATCAGTGTAGGGTTGTCTCCAGATATCATTCATGGCCGCTATCTGGTGCGAACCTGACTCAACGTAAACACATCCGAGCATTCAATACCCAAGAGGAATGGAAACAATTTTATTCGTCTATTCGAATCATTGCATAGATTTCGGGAGAATGTTATTCCATGTTTTTCCTGGCTTGTAGCCAGGAAAGGAGTTGTTGTCTTATCGTTATCTTTCAGTTTCGTTCATTTATGAACATTTGTGGAAATTACTTTGAGTTTTGAGTATCCATTTAACATTCCATTCCACTTTGAGTATTTTGGCTTTTTCTAAATTGAAATCATGCCAGTCGAGCAACCAGGCACTCCTATTGCATGGAAATTTGTATCGGAGTGTTTCGCTCCTGTGCTCCTACTCAGGTGAACGATCTTGGTATCAAATGATGGGATGTGTTTACGTAATTCAGGTTCGCACCAGATAGTGGTCATGAATGCTATCTGGAGACGACCTTGCACTGATGAGAGCCAATGAACCCCGAAACCGGTAAGTAGATAGTCAAGCGTTCCTGAACACTTCAAGCACATTTCAGCATTTGGGAAGAAAACACTTGTGATTTTATTCGTGTATACGAATCAATTCATAGATTTCGGGAGCTTGTAATTCAGTGTTTTGCGTGGCATATAACCAGGAAAGTAGTTGTTTCCTCTCGTTATCTACCAGTTTCGTTCATTTATAAACATTTGTGAAAATAACTTTGAGTTTTGAGTATTTTTTGTACTCAGAAATTCATTTTCTGCAGATATGCCTATTTGATTTTACAGCGACGATATATACAAATCATAACCATATAACCAAAGAATATATCGTATTTCTTGAAGATACTGTGATTGTCTTTGGTTAACTCAGGTGCGTATACAAGGGGGGGGTAATGGGGGTAGTTACCTTCCCCAGAGACGATCGAAGAAAATTCATTGTTTCAATCGAAATTAATATTAAGATTCCCAAAATTAATTGAATTTCATTTCATTCAACACGGAACTAGTATCTAATATATTTCTTCCTGAAAGCTGAAAAATGCCAAAACTGCAGCGTGCAAGTTCCTTTATCATGTTGTCTATTCAATTTATGTATATTATGGAATCTGGTAAGCCGGTGTGATTTTGCCATTATAAAAGCGAAAAAAGTTTCTCCTTACTTTTCCAGCGACAAAACCGAAACTCAATTCTTGAAAGCATGACAACCAAAATTGTAAACAAACTTGCGTTGTCAGAAAAGTATCTATAATCTATGGAAACGTCGCGATTTGGATGAGAGTCTTCGACTGGAGAAATCGAAAAAACCATCAACAATAATGTGATTTATCGTATTCATCAAATTATCTTACCAACTTGAACTCAGGCATTTTTTTCGGGTCAAAGTGAACTTGATATTTATGTATATAATAATATTTTAACTGAATTCGAAATAATTTTTCCCACCTTCATGAAACCCCGCTGACAAACCAATAACTATCAATTTGAAGGAATTCGACCTGGAATAACAGAGAAATTTCGCCTGTGGTGCTTTTTTTGCTTGTAGATTGTAGATTGTAGATGGGTCGTATAGGCTGGGAGACCTCTCGATCACTGCGACCTAGAAGATCTATTGTGATTACCCTTATCTAGTTTTGGTCCTCTAACCCTAGACTTCTGGTGAAGCCTACAATTTTCCTGACGGTTGAATTTTCCCCCTCAGCAGGGGTGAGATAGACCTGTTCTAGGTGGTTCAGCCTTTGGCGGACTAATACTTCACATGAGCAAAGTATGTGTTCCGCGATTTCGGTCGCATTGTTACAAAATCGGCAAGTGTCAGTCTCCGCCAGGCCCATCTTTTTGAGGTAGTACCTCAGAGGGCCGTGTCCTGTGAGGAAGCCTGTGATAAGCTTTAGCTCTGGTTTTCTAAGGCTGAGTAGCTCTTTGGCTCGGTTCTGCGAATGGTTGATGAACCTTTTTCGCTTGTCGTTGACCTGGAGTTGCTCTCCAGTAGGAGGACTTTTCAATTTCTTCCCATTTCCTGAGTTCTTCCTTTAGGTGACATTTGCTTATCCCACAAAAAGGCTCAGGACCAAAAAGTGCAGATGCTGCACCTTCTCTTGCAAGGTGATCAGCTGCCTCATTTCCTTTTTTGCTTTGTGTCAGCCCCCTCACCACGAATTACCCCTCCCATCAAACAAAGATGTATACGTGCCTGAGTTAACTGCCCCTGACCATGATGATTATTTGATGATTTCTTACCGTATGGCTAGTGTCTAGGAAATTGTTGATGAACAGCAAGGTAGCCCACCATGTATGCACGCAACAGTCGGTGATCTTCTTTGAAATCAGTGGCCATGCTGGACCGTCACCAAGTCTTTTGAAGATACTTATGTAGAACAATACGATTGCCAAAAGGGCTGGAGTTATTCTGGAAGTAAACAAAAGTTATTATACAAGGGAAAAAAGTAGTAGAATATATCTCGATCTGAAATCTAGTGTACACTACACTATTTTTTTCTGTGACAGGAAAAAGGACGAATCAATATTGAGAAGATATTACATTATATCAAAATCAGAAATTTATCGATGTGAAATTTGAAGTTTTTAACAGGAATTACATCTGCGTTGCAGTCATAAAAATCCAAAATCAAAGTAATCATCGGATCTTTATCATTCACATCCATTGCTGTCGAAACATCCGCACAAAGTGAGATATGTCCTATATATTTTGTATGAGTATAATAGTGTCCCCGTGCAAAAACAATAATATATTGGGGAAAAGTACTTTTCTCACTCGTGCGTTTGCATCACTCGCCCTTCAGGCTCGTGCCACAAACTCTCACACTCGTGAGAAAAGTTGAACTTCCCCCACTTGTTGCACACTATACTTTTTCTACAACTGCACTTATCCAAAGAATCCAAGTAATGTAACTTATTGGTATTCATTTTATTATGTGGCACTATGCCACATTGAATATTGTGACCAAAGAGTAGACGCCTTTCCTAGTTCCTCAAAGTATTTCAAAAAGTACACCTTCTGAAAAAGATTTTATTTCTGTATTTTTTTTTTGTTTCATAAATTTTTCGTATATGCCAATTCATACTTTTTTCTTGAAATTTCCGGAAACAAATCCAATTTTGGCAGCTTTTCCCATTATCTCTGACTCTGGCGGTGTATTTATCAGAATCGTCACATCTCGGTATATATACATATCATATTATTTATTATGAATTGTTGGAATAATATTCGATGGAAACTGCGATTACTATCAAAAGCACTAATGAGAACTACCCTAAAGAATTTAAAAAACTTTTTCTGACAGTTGTGACAACTATTCAAAGCTGAACACCAGCCAATTAAGTTTTGGTCGATTTTTGTTGAATATCCATGGAAATGTAAGTGGAGTTGGCAAAGTGCCGTGAGAAAAAATATTTTCCACAGTATAAGCAATACATGGTTCTGAAACTAAGTAAGCTATGAGAAATGCGCTACTCTTCATAGCAGTAGTAGAAAATAGTATATTGTGCAACAAGTGGGAAAAGTTCAACTTTTCTCACGAGTATGAAAGTTTGTGATGGAAACACACGAGTGAGAAAAGTGCCTTTCCCCACATGTTGCACACTAGACTTTTTCTACAACTGCACTCATTCAAAGAATCCGAGTAATGTTGCTTAATGAAAGAGTAGACGCCTTTCCTAGTTTCTCAAAGTATTTCAATAAAGTACACTTTCCGAAAAAGATTTTCTTTCTGTATTTTTTTAGATTCCATAAATCCTTCGTTTATGCCAATTCATACTATTTTCTTGAAATTTCCGGAAACAAATCCAACTTTCGCAGCTTCTTCCATTATCTCTGTCTCTGGCGATGTATTTATCAAAATCGTCACATCTCGGTATATACCTACATCATATTATTTATTATGAATTGTTGTAATAATATCTGATGGAAAATGCGATTTCTATCAAAAACACTAATGAGAACTACCCTAAAGAATTTAAGAAACTTCTTCTGACAGTTGTGACAACTATTCAAAGCTGAACAGCAGCCAAGTTTTGGTCGATTTTTGTTGATTCTCCATGGAAATGTATGTGGTGTTGGCAAAGTGCCGTGAGAAAAAATATTTCTCACAGTATGAGCAATACATGGTTTTGAAACTAAGTTTGCTATGAGAAATGCGCTACTTTTCATAGCAGTAGTAGAAAAACTTCTTTCTGTAACTGATTCATCCATAACAAAACATGTCAGTTTGCACCAATCAGTTGTATAGTTGGTAGTCACGTGATACTTTCAAAAGAGTCTTTTGTTTTTTCTTTTGAAATTTTATTGGACCACTTTGAGATATGGATGATCTTCACGATTTACGTGATACTTTGTTTACTAGTCGTCATTCAGTACACCAGATATTGTTGGATAGTAAATTGAAATATTAGTGTACAAAAGCGTATTTTATTCGTATAAAGGATAATATATGTATAATGATCATATGAATAATATGTATGAATGTTTGGAAGAATGTTGTGGATTACAAAAAAATTGTATTTAATTTTCTGATCTAATTTGTGCAACTTTAAATTCAAAAAAATACGTCTTCACTACATGTCATTTCTCCATGTGTCTCTTATTCACAACCTGTACCCTGATCTGTTTTTTTTTTCTTGATAATAATGTGTAATTCTACACAATAAAACTGAAGCAAAGTCGAAGCTTTTTTTAGTGAGTGGAACAAAAACGAGCAAGTCTACCAAACATCTGAGCATAATCGAACAAGTCCCTATAGTTGTTTGAACAAAAATAAACATGTCTGCTTTTAAAGTTGAAATAGTCAGAGATTGTACCGTTTCTGAGCAAGATTACGATGCACCAATATCATAAATTATATCACGTAATGCTTGCGAGACCTTTGATAGGCTGTAACTACTTTTTATAGAATACTGGCAATCATGATCTGGAAGACATGTTAGGTTATGCATGCGCGCTCCTCATTTATCATACTTTTGAAGTAATCAAAAAATATCTGTCAGTCTGATTCTGTGATTTTATTTTTGAAAATTGCGAATTTATTGGTTGTTTAGTAATTCACGTAACCGCGAAGTCGAATGGAAGATAAAAGGACTTGCAGTTCTTTCTCGGAGACAGTGTCGTTATTGGCTTATTTTACGGAAATAGCACAACAAAAGCCATCAACAGTGTATACATATATCCAGGAAAAAAGTACTCACTTTGTCCCGTAGGAAATAGTTATTTATTATACAAGGGAAAAAAGTAGTAGATTTTAGCTCCAGGTTGTGTTGTCTCCCGACGCGTAGCGGAGGGAGACAAAAAACCGTGAGCTAAAATCTAATATTTTTCCCGTGTATAATACACTATTTTTTTCTGTGACAGAAGGAAGGACGAATCAATATTGGAAAGATATTACATTATTTCGAAATCTGAAAATTATCGACGTGAAATTTCAAGTTTTTAACAGTAGGGACACCTGCGTTTTATAGACATCTTCATCATTCTTTTGAAGTAATCAAATATCTGATGTCACTTCTGTCAGTTCAATTTTGTGATTTGATTTTAGAAAATTGCGAATTCAGTAGTTGTTTAGTAATATACGAAACGGCGAAGTCGAATGGAAGATAAAAGGACTTGCAGTTCTTTCTCGGAGACGGTATTATTGACTTATTTTTCGGAACTATAGCACAACAAAAGCCATTAACAGAGTATATACAGGCTGACTGACAAAAAACGCCCCGATCCGTAGCGCCGCTATTTATTATCCGATTTTGAAAAGCAAGAAAGCAAATGAAATGACTCATGAGATACTACAAGGTGGCACAAACATTTTTTTTTCCAATTTCAAGTATAACCACCGATTGTCAACTTTTTTTTTTTCAAATACCATTGTATATTTTTTAATTTTTTATCTGATAGAGATTTCTTTCCTGGATACAACGATGTATCACACTTGAGGTCTCGCGGGAAAGATTACAGAGATATAGGGTGTTCAAAATCGAGATTTTTCAACTTTAGGATCTTTTGTGTTGAAACTATTCATTATTGGTCAAAACGGCTCACATGTCTCTTTCTCAACTTTTGATTTACTATCTACTGACATTAATTGGAACAGATACAGGGTGATCAGAATTCTCTGATTCTTGAATCACCCTGTATTTGTTCCAACTAAATGTCAGTAGATAGTGAATCAGAAGTTGAGATAGGCACATGCAAGCCGTTTTGACCAAAAATGAATAGTTTCGACACAAAAAAATCCTACAGTTGAAAAATCTCGATTTTGAACACCCTATATCTCTGTAATCTTTCCCGCTAGACCTCATGTGTGATACATCATTGTATTCAGAAAAATAATCTCTATCAGAAAAAAAATTAGAAAATATACAATGCCATTTGAAAAAAAAAATCAAAAAGGGTGTCGTTATAGATGGAATTGGATGAAGAAATTGTTAGTGCCATCTTGTTGTATCTCATGAGTCATTTCATTTGCTTTTTTGTTTTTTGAAATCGGATGATAAATAGCGGCGCTACGGATCGGGGCGTTTTTTGTCAGTCAGCCTGTATATGTGATATATATCCGGGAAAAAAGTACTCACTATTTTCCCACGGGAAAAAAGTAATTTATGAAAAGTGACATTTTATAACCTGCCAACAGAAATGAAATGCCAAACTTTTTTCCCGTCACAGAAAAAAAGCTAATAACTAAGTAACTTATGTTTGGAGGGCCGAAGTCGCCTTACCCAATGGTTATATAGAAATAATAAATGATATCTAGTTCTGATAATGTATGAGAAACTTTTTATGTGTCTTCTGGATCTTTCCTATACTGATTGTCTTTTCGTAGATGTGTGTTGTCTTCTGGGAAATCCATGAATGTAATAATCAAACTGGTCCTACTAAATTACTGCCTCTGATATTACTTCTTTACCCAACCAATACCCCACAAATAAGGATTATTTCGAACGATTACGCAGATATTCGCGTTCTGAGTTTCCATATGCTCAATGAGTGTGACGGAGAAAGAAGTTTTAATATTGCGAAGTCACGCCCATTGAGCATATGCAAACTTCGAACACAAATATCTTTGTAATCGTTGAAAAAAAACCTATCAAACCCGGTTTCCCATTCAAAAATCAAAAGTTGGGGTCGTTTCCGGTGAAATTGAAAGTGATAGAAGATAAATTGTTTCATCAATTAATGAGCAATTTGGTATACTTGCTACCCACCAATTTCCAAAACCCTATCTAGAATGATTCAAAAGTTACGGTCCTCTTGACGGTCCTGGCCGTTTTTGTGCACTTCTCTGCATACTGAAATTTTAGCAAGATCTTCATAAACGGCGTTGTCCGTTCAAACATATTTTACTGACGAAATGAGAACCATTTTCCTTCTAGAAAAATAGAAAGATATATAACAAAATATAAGTACTCACCTCAGACATCTGTAGAAATAAATTGAGATAACGGAAAACTGTCTATTTTTCCTCGTGCTATGATATCTGAGGACGCCGAACGACAATAGTAAACCACTCAATACTAAGAATGTGTCAACTGCATAAGATCCACTAAGAACGAAAGAGGTGAAGATGTATCCTTTCCACTGGAAATATAAAATAATAATACTTCAGTCAAAATGAACGCCCAATAAGGAGGAAGAGAAATTCCAAAAGTCCCCGAACTTACAAGGTGAACCAAGTGCGGGAAGCGACAAAGAAGGTCCCTTTTTTTGATTCATATCTCAAGAACAGTACGCCACAGCAAATAAGTCAATCAATCAAAAATTGTAGCTGATAAAATTGTCTACAAGATTTTATCCTCAAATGTTAACCTCATCTTTTATAGTTATCGAGATATTCGCTACTAAACTACAAGTCTTGAGGCTCATTGAGAACACAATATTGGTAAGACATGATATAGACGAAGACTCATCTTGCTCTCTTTGACATAGCGAAAGCATTTGAAAAGGCATGGCAAGATGGTATTTTGTACGAAATGATCGATATGGGATTTCCTGAAGATTTGATTCAGTTGATGTATTCATTTCTGATGAATCTTTTCAAGTGAATTTTGATGATCAACGATCTGGCATCAAGCCCATTGACGCTGGTCTTTCTCAGGGTGCAGTTTATCACCGCTGTTGTACAGTTTATTCACTAGCGATTTGCCAAGGCAAGTGATGTGCAAGATGTTGCTTTTTGCTGATGATACGGCAGTTCTTGCATATTCGACAAATTTTGAGGAGTACCTCCTTGAATGGAAGATCAAATTGAATCCTGCAAAAACACAATTGGTTGCACTCGGAAGGGAGCGGAGGCCTTCCAGAACCAAAATAATCCTGGATGGTCATGAGTTAGAATGGTCTTCACAAGTTGAGTACTCAGGTGTGTGCATTGACAGGAAGCTCACCTGGGCCAACACATCGAACAGCAAGTTTCAAAAGCTATATGCCCCAGACTACCGAGGCCGAGGCCGATTTGCAAAAGCCGAAGTAGTCGATGCTTGCAGCCACTGAGAACTATGTTTATAATTGTGGTATCGTAGGAAACTGAATGAAAAAAATTACTTAGTTCATTGTTATCAATCAGCTCATAAGGTGGAATCTGAAAATGCAATAGGATGCAAGGTGTTCTATAAGAAAAAGTATAACTTCGATACGCCACGCATTTTTGAGTAACCCTGTATAACGCAAAATATTTATTGCTCAGGAGACTAGACCATTTCAAGAATTTTTGTTCATCTGTCTCAAGCAGCAAAGCCGTTATCTCACTTTGCCACACTATTGGTCCACCCTGTATGTTTACATGAGCCTTCCATATATCGAAGACTGGAACCTTTGGCACGATAATACACTACACTGTTTTACCACTAACCAAACCGATTTTTTTTTATCGCCTCGACACGTGTTCCGCTAACTATGTTAGCATCTTCAGGAGAAGATTAAAACTAAATATCCTATTCTAGTATGCTGCTTATATACTAGGTATATGTTCACCCAACTGTGAAAAATACTAACCCTCAAGTTAATGTTTGTCATGGTTGAGTTCACATACTAATCTTAATTTTTATTTTACTAAACTATATAGAGGGCTATATGGAATAGGTCCATTATCCTTATTCATTCTATTACTATTCTTAAAATATCTCTAAGCTTTCATATGCTTCTAGTTTTCTAATGTTATTAACTTGGTTAACTAATTTGAGGTTAGTAATATGTGTGTTATGATTGTGATTGAACATATGTTCGGCTACACAAAAAAATCGGTTTGGTTAGTGGTAAAACAGTGTAGTGTATGAGCCTTCCATCTCAAAATTGTGAATTCTTCGAGCTGTTGGAAGTCCTGCTACAAAAAACTGAACCACCCTGTATATTTCATATTCTAGTTATTACATTCAGTTAACAAAAACAAATTCCAACCGTCAGATTAAAGTAATTCCTCTATATAATTGTCAGATTATGGGTCGATACGACAAGGACATTAAGATGAAGCGTCTGTATAATAATCTGACGCGCTCGAGTATTTCAAAAATTGATCATGACTTTTGGTCACGTCCAAATCGTCAGTCTTTTGAATAGGAGCTACTTGAGGGTTCACTTAACCACAGACTTAACGTCTCTTCTCAATATCTGACGCGCTCGCATATTTTTTTTACCTATTCTCTATCCCTTCGTACGGCCACCCCCACCATGCAAACCGGCAGATTAATATTATTCCTACGAGCGTGCGCAAAGTAGTACTTTTCCGCACTCATTTGCGTGCGCAAAGTAATACTTTTCCGCACTCAGTGCGGATATGGGTGTTATCCGCACGGCGTGTCAGATTTTTACTCAGTTTTTGTCAGCAAGAATCTAGAAACACCGTCACTTCATCATAATTTTTTTTATTTCCCTTTTTATCTGATATGATGCTCGTATAGGAAAAACGTTGTTCCTAACACGTGCGCAAAGTGTCTTTTCCGCACGCGAATACTTATTCGCCTAACTGAATTTGCGTGCAGAAAAGTAACACTTTGCGCACTTGTTAGGAAAATAACTATTTCAGTTATCAGAAACACGTGGGGCGCATACACTTTTAATATCTGACGTGCTCGAGTATTTCTATGTGACTGTTTTTTTTTACATTTTTGAACACCTGTACACGCTCTCCCCACCATTCAAAGGTCATATATCATGTAAACTTTTTTTTCATTTTCTCATCTAAACTTCACAATCTGATACATCCCCACGACGCTCGAGTAAATCCCTATTTAGCCTCTTTGCCTCCTCTACTATTAGAAGCTTAACAATAAGTTAAGTTTAGAGTTGCGCTCCTCGAATGATAGAGATCTCCAAACAGAACTTAAAAAAAATGTTCATAGGAAACTATTTTCATATATAATACCACAAGTGATAATATTTTGCCGGAAATATTCGGTGATTGTTACGACAGCTTGTTGCCTAGGAAATTAGAGCAGCAAGCTGGAGTATGTCAATCGACGAATATTTCCAGGAAAAATAGTATCACGAGTTGTATTCGTATGACTTTTTCATGATTGAATGAGACAAATATATATAAGAAATAGGAAACATAATTCTAGAATATTCCAACTCAAACTGCGAAGAAGAACATAATGATAGTGATGAAATACATAATTCAATTGTTTAAAAATTAACTACCTATACTTATAGCTATTCACAAAGTGGAATGTACAATTTTGGTAAACAGTATTTTTTCATTATCTTGGAGATGGTTGAGATGAATGGATGAAATAATTTTAAAAAAAAGTTATCGTCGCCGAGGAACTCGAACCATCGACCTTCGTATCGTTGCGCAACAACCCTAACAGTTGCGCGACATCGGTAATTACTTTAGTAACAATAACTTGAGTACTTGAACAAGAATACTTTGAAAAGGAATTTGAATTCTTGTATTGTTGTGTCAGACCGTCAACAAATATGCAAACTTTTTAAATTACACATGAAACGTCCAGCCAAAATTAAATTGTCTCGCCTTTCGTACAAAATGTCTCACTAACGCGAATTATAAGTAAATAAAATAAAGTAGGAACTTAGGTTATTGCGAGGGTTATTGTCTCATATTTGAATCCAAAGCAATCTTGACCAGACACGATGTCAAAATTTTATCGCTGATAAACGAGGTTTGTTGGTCACGTGTAGGTCAATTCGGCTTCTGTATTGGTAGAGCAAGTCCGATAAAATTTAATAAACAAAAAATATCGCTAGAATACAGAAGAAACCGTGAAAATGGTCGATTCTGATTGGTTCTCGAGATCAAGAGTGGAATAGTCATAGTGTGTTCGAATTGATAAATTGCTGATGATTGTTCTAAATATCACAAACGATATGATTTCCACAAAATTCTCAAACACACGACATGTTTCGCTAACACAGTAGCTTCGTCAGGTGATATACTGGTACAATGAACTAAACTAACGTTGGCTTGCTTAACTTTTATATGACTTACTTTCCCAACCTGAAGGATTAGTTACATGTGGACAGGTACGATAAACCTCCATTTTCGGAAATTAGGCACAATATCTACATTAAATTACGGTATACCGGATCAACTTGAAAGAGTTGATATCAAATACATATTATTACTTACTAAGAAAACAAATTCAACAGTGGTGAACTATTGAGGTCTAATTGATTATTAAGTAAAATCTCAAAATTTTTGAGTTTGTTGATTTCTAATGATTAAAAATGATTGAGTTTCAGTCCTTTATTTTCTACGTGCATAATTTCGAAATTATCATCGAAACTATGGTTTTCTTCTAATATATGGTTGGCGTATGTTGAATTTGTTTACTTTTTCATAAAATTCATCTTATGTTCATGAATGCGCTGATTAAACGTACGACCTGTCTGACCGATATATACCTTAGAACAAGATCCACATTTGAGTTTGTATACCCCTGATTTTTCGAATTTAGAAGTTTTGCCGGGGACGGTTTATCAAGAATAATAAAGACAAGTTCTAAATATCATTTATTATCTTCAGTCTGTGTTGTATTTGGAAAAAGATTGTTTGCTTTCGAAAAAAGGATTGCTCATATACATATACTTGTTATTGGTTACTAATTTGTTTTAAATTTGAATCTTGAATATTGCTTCTTTGTGCAGAAAGTCGACGTACTGTAAACGTTTTTGTAAAATAGCCAAATAAATCTATCTATGAACTTACCTTCTCCAAGTAAGATGCGTTCGTGATTCCAGAAACGATATTGACAAAATATCGGTGTCCAAGAATCACCCATAGCATACTTATGAATTTGAGTCCACTTATTGCTTCTATATAATCTGATGCTCCTTTTTTGGGCGGAGAAAATAATTTCTTGCCATTAGAATACACAGAAAATGTTATCAGTACATTATCTTCACGTCCTGTAACCAGAGAAAAGCTGTTATAATATGTCAAAAGTGTAAAGGCAATAAACACACATGGGAGGAAATGATTAACTAGGTATTTCTTCTAATGATTTTTATTTTGAAGGAATTGTGGTTCAGGCGCTCTACCCAGACAGCACTGGATATTCCTAGAATATTCCCTAGATGTACTGAAAGAGAAGAGTATATTCCGAATTTCCAACGAATATTCGTAGAATATGTGCCTCGGAATATTCAATATTCAAAGTTGAATATTCTAGTAACATTCCATAATAATATAAACGGATTATTCCAGAAGGAATATTCAGAGATGAATATTCCAGTTGGATTGTTCAAGGAATCTTCAACGTATTCATTATACATTCCAATTCCGAAATCGATCCTTAATATAACCAGTTTTCGATAAGTATATATTATATTCCTCAAACCACTGTGACTGAACATTGTATTTTGATTTTGGCTGTTCAGAATATTTCGAAACTCCATGATTTTTGTGCTCTAGGTTGTGATTTGATTACTATTTCTCTTAGAAATAAATTCTCCACATCTCTCCTTTTTTTTCTGAAGACTACCTTATATGAATTCTGGGTCAATTCAGAAATTCCGGGATGACGTTTCCGAGATTGTGGAGAAACAACGTGGTTTAATCAGTTAGCTCAAGAAGATAATGCTCTTGCATCGCAGGTTATAGGTTAGGCAAAGTTCAAAGAATGGGTGAGGTATGTCTACATAATATGCTCACCCAAAATTCAATAGTTATAAATCCCTAATGATAGATTTGTCATAGAATCAAATAGCAATAATAAAAAGTTTTGAGGATATCAAGAGGACAATGGTGAGTTTTGGATACACAGACGAAAAAATTATTCAAAATTCAAATACCTTCAAGGTGCTGATGTATCAGTATATCATAGCAAGTGCTTATCAGCAGGACGAAAGCATATATGCAGAAAAATCCACTGAAAATAAAAACACGGTAATTATTATAATAATTGTTATACACTTCTCCGAGAAATTGAAGCACCACCAAAAAAATAGCCTTCTGTCAATTTTTTTGAATTCATCCCATTACCTCGCCTTTTACTCGAGAAACACCATTTTATAGCGTAACATAAGTTTATGGAAAATTAATATCCAAATTGAACAACAAAAAAACGAAACAGAAAGCGAAGTTACAAGTTAAACGAAATTGTCAGTAGCAAGTATTTCCCTCGCGAACACGAATAACTTTTTGGCAAAGACGCCCCATGCCCAAAATAAGAGACCTATATTGTCCTGTTAGTCCAGGTCTTCCCAAATTTGAATCATCAGTCTCTGCCGTATGTTTCCCAAAGTGTTCAATTCAGATGGTAGCGATACAGACTTCCTCTTGATAATTTCTTTCAACTCGGTCGAAGTGAGGCCAGGCATTATCTCGCATCAACAAGAATCCTTAATATTTATGTGGTTCTAAAATCACCAATATGTACAGGGTGGGCAAAATTGGGCGTTTTCACCGTCTATCTCAATAACTAGAGGAGTTATCGAAAAACCGATATACATGTTCCGGGTTCGATTTTGGAGAAACCTCGATTGGCACAATCAAAATTTCGATATCTTCATTCGTTTTAGAGATACAGGGGGAGATTGAAAATTTGCCGATTCCGATTTTATTTTCTGACTACTTTACGGTGAGAGGTATCAAAAAATTTCAAACGAATATTCATACAGTATGATGCGTGGAATCCATTGGCATCATCAGAAATTTTATACAGGGTGACGTTGAAAAGATACGGCAGCCAATTATGTTTTTTCTAATGGAACACCCCGTATATTTTGGCACATTTGAATAGTCCCAGGCGTTCTCATTACAAATATATATATAACCCTACCTTTTCCTTCCACAATTTCAGATATATTCGCAAAAATATATTCAGTGTGTCACATTTCTTATGGTTACACCCCCGTATCTTCTGTAAAAATAATTGAGGTAGGATTCAAAAATCGCAACTGTCAGAAAGATGAAATGATACACTCATGGAGTCATGGGCCAAGTGGGATCATCTCCAATGATAACACTGCTCGCCAGCAGCTATGGAATCATCGATATTTCTGGATAATGCTATCAACAGGCAGAATCGAGGTTGAAAATGACACTGTGTATATATTCACCAAATGTGGAAAATAAATATCATAGGGAATGTAATTTCCAGATGAATGGATATTTGGTATGAAATGAAATAAGAAATTATTCAATTTCATATGATTGGTATCAAGACATTCAAACTATTTAAGATACAGAAATAAGAGGAATAATTTATTTATTTAAGAAATAACAACGTATAAGGATATGGCTTTATAGAATATGTTCAAATCATCTTCCATTTTGGCCTAAGCAAACTTCACATCGTTTCCTTACAAAATTCACTGCGTTGGTGATATGAATGGGACTCACTTTTTGGAATGCTGAAATAACGTCTTCACGTAGTTCTTAAGCGTTTTGGTGATTTCGGCGGTATATATGTTTTTTTTATAAATCCCCACAAGAAACAATCCAAAGGACTCAAGTCTGGTGAACGGGGGGGGGCCATCGAATTGGTCCATTTGTACCAATCCATTTTTGTGGAAACTTTATATTCAGGATATCTGTAACTCTACGGGCATTATGGGATGGACATCCATCCTGTTGGAAATAAGTATGCGGTAATCTAGCAAGAGGCTCTTCGTCCAGCAATTCTTCCAAATTCCGATTCATAATTCTAATATAGTTTTCCGCTCTCAAATTTTCTTCAAATATAACGTAGGCTAATCTGTATCCTTTGATGAAACAACTTATGTTGAAACCAAACCTACCCTGTTGCCTTCTATCATGATGAATTTGAAGATTATTATCGGCCCATATTTTGTGGCAGAATGCCTGAATATGATACTTTACCCGTTATTTCTAGTATGCCTTAATATTTTTGCGTTCAAAGAGATAATAAATAAGATATATATTTGAAATTGAAACGGGTACTTTCCAGCTTTGCCAAAATATACGAGGTGTTCCATAAAAAAAATTGTTCTGTATCTGGAATTTGGACATCTTCTATAAGGCTATATTTTTCAACGCAACCTACTGATTTTCTAATTGAGTAAATTATTGGTCTTATTTCTGTATCTCAAATGTCTTGATAACAATGATATCAAATCGAATGATTTCCCATTTTATTTCTCACCAAAATATCCATTTGTCTGGAAATAACATTCCCTATGATATTCAGTTTCCAACTTTGGTGAATATATACAGAGTGTCATTTTCAACCTCGATTCTGCCTGTTGATAGCATTATCCAGAAATATCGTTGATTCCATAGCTGCTGGCGAGCAGTGTTATCATTGGAGATGATCCCACTTGGTCCATGACTCCATGAGTGTATCATTTGTATCTTTCTGATAGTTGCGAATTTTTTAATCCTACCTCAATTATTTTTTACAGAAGATACGGGGGTGTAACCATAAGAAATGTGACACACTGAATATATTTTTGCGAATATATCTGAAATTGTGGAAGGAAAAGGTAGGGTTATATATATATTTGTAATGAGAACGCCTGGGACTATTCAACTGTGCCAAAATATACGGGGTGTTTCATTAGAAAAAACATAATTGGCTGCCGGATCTTCTCAACGTCACTCTGTATTGAATTTCTGATGATGCCAATGGATTCCACGCATCATACTGTATGAATCTACGTTCGAAATTTTTTGATACCTCTCACCGTAAAGGAGTCAGAAAATAAAATCGAAATCGGCAAATTTTCTATTTCCCCCTGTATCTCTAAAACGAATGAAGATATCGAAATTTTGATTGTGCCATTCGAGGTTTCTCCAAAATCGAACCCAGAACATGTATATCGGTTTTTCGATAACTCCTCTAGTTATTGAGATAGACGGTGAAAACGCCCAATTTTGCCCACCCTGTACATCAATAGGCGAGTGGACTGATTTTTTTTTATTTCTTAAATAGAATCATCACTCAAATACCTTTCAATTTCATATTTTTCAAGATTTTTTTTTATTTTAAGGTGCTGAAATCATCAATAATGCCACGGTGATTTTAAAACGTCAAGAAATTCACCGCCACTGAAAACTGACGCCACGATTTCGTAAGTATAGAGGCAGACCATAGCACAGTTGCCATGTATATTGAAATACGATTGGGAATTTCAGATATATTAGTTAAGGCTGTATGACACCTGTTAAATTTGATGACAAATATGATAATATTTATAATATCAAAATATTTAGAACCAGTCCTATAATTTTACAAGAATGTTTGCAAATCTGTTTGTTAACATATTTGTTATCAAATTCAACAGGTGTCATACAGCCTTTATTCGATAATTCATGAGTTCTCAATTGAGTATTGGTAATAATTAGCAATAAAAATTCAATTGTCTCAAAATGTTCCCTTATGATTTGTGGTTTATTGCTTATAGTACAATTCTGTGAATAGTGATTGTATTGATTCACACTAGAGTACATTTGAATTGGTGAACGTGACAGCCACACGACTTGTGGGCGTGGTCTTGTCAGCTCTCAGCATTCAGCACAATGTTGCCAAGTCTCCAACATTCACAAGATATGTTGTTATAGAGGATAAGAAATATTTGGTCATGCTGGCTGCTCTAAAAAGTCAAGAATGAACTATAACGTCAAGGGTTCCTTCTATTATGTTTTATTCAATGACAAGACTATTACATCTTTTTGATAGCATGATTATAATTAGTGACTTGACAACTTTGCTTCATGAGTGGAAATGGAAGATTATCTGACCAATAACGAAACAGCATAAAAACTGACGCCACCATCCATTCGACGTATCGCCAAATGGCGTGAGGAGTGTTCCAAAAATCAATTTAGGTTCCTAACTACACAGTGGTGTGATTGAATGCCAATAATGTATTATGTTTACAAGTTCCATGCGACCAGTCAAAGAAATGCCTTCCCAGACCATAGCCTGCTACTTCCGTGCTTAAAATGCCAATTGAATACAATAAAATCATGTTATGCTATAAAATTGTGTTCCTGGAGAGATTGGAATGATAATGGAGTGAATCCAGAAAAGGAATGTTGTAAAAAGATAATGCTAAAGTGTATTAACAATTTCAACTTGATAACGTAACTGTTATACAGTACACTCCACAGGGAATTACAAGAAAAAACACGCCATGATTACTACACCCGATTAATGAAAATGGAGTTCTCATGCGAATACAGTTTGCACCATAATATTCAGAAGAAGATAATCTATCATTCAAATTATTAATCGTACAAATCGGACGAGTTTAGTTCCAACGAAAATGTATCTCGAATTTTTGGATACTTTTTGGTTGTGCGTTAATTTTTTGGGGAAGTTTAGTAAGTATGTACCATCACAGCATCACATATCACAATATCGCAACTCAATATGAGTAGATAATATCGCGACCTTGCAAGCTTGCAACCAACTTTATTTTTCCGAATATAAAAATCAAATTGGGAATAATCGATGAACCTCAATAATTTTCTACATTTGTGTTCAAAATGTTGCCACTGTTCAATGTTCATACACTGTAGAAAATTCCTCTGAGTGAATGCATATGTGGTTGTGAGTGAATTTACTGATTGAAATATTTGAGTGAATTCTCAACTCAAAATAGATATTTCATCAAGTTCTCATATCAATGAGAATGTTTATAACAAATTTGATTGAATCGGTTCATGAATTACCATTTTACACAGTCAAGTAGGGTGAAATTTCAACTCAATCGGGCGTGGACCGAAATTGACTCATTATTGCGTGGACTTCGAGTGAAATTTCACTCAATTTTTTTTCAGTGTACGAAAATTAATGGTCTATAACTTTATATTGCCAATCAAAATTTTCCAGTGAATTTTTTTTTGATATATCTAATGTACAGATGGTGAATTCGATGGTTCAGTCAAATTTTCTGTGGAATAATCGTTAGTGAAATTTCGTGGTTTTGAAGATGAAAAGAAGCATATACCCATGACCTGAGATATGGAATTATATTTTGTGAATTTGTGTGAACGTAGATCTTTTGAAACTCTCTCTGCTGTAACATGAAAAAATTGATCAATTGAGAACTCTGGTCTTAAGTCACACTGTATATTTTAGTTCTGCAGATCGCAAGACAGCTCAACAGGAGTGTGAAGAAATCAAAGAAATTGTTCGAATGTTGAACAAATGAACTGTTTTTAACGAAAAATACATTATTCTTAACAAATATATAAGTGGGATCTGGATGATGTATGACCCAGGTCCTTGAAAAAAATCCAATAATTTGTTTCATAATCCTACCCTATGTGTTCTGGGACGCAGAATTCGATTCTGTAGTTATCCAACAAAATGTTCTGTTTTCTTATGGATATTTGCAAAAAACAGCGAAATTTTCGCACTTTCTTCTTTTTTTTTATAATTTCTAAAAGTATGTGTGATACCTCAAGAATAAATTCCATCTTTCGCTTTCCCAAAGGAGACTGAATTTGCTAAAATGTAAGTCCAACCACAGTACCATGAGTCGAACAGTGCCCGAGATACAGCATTTGAAAAATGGGTAGATTTTTCAAGAAAGTGAAATTTTAAGTTTTAGATCTTTAGCTAAATATTGGGGAATATCCTGATCCTAAGAGGAAAATCGCCAGAAGGGAAATTGTAGTTCAAATTTTCTCAGCTCCAATTCAAACTCAAGCGACGAAAGTACATCAGATGGTTGACTCAATTTGCGAAAAATAAAAAATGAGAAAATTGGTATTTTGGATTGGATTTTGATAAGATTTTATATGGAACTTTCCCGGTACACATGCAATGTTGAAAGTGGCTAAACGACATTAGGCTCTCTTGATGTAAATTGACGTATTTGTCATCTTAACAGGGTACGGACAGATCTTCGTCTCCGCTCACTCTAAAGTGTTTGTGAAACAGTTATATAGTTCTTTATTCATTTCAGGGGATAAACACTAGATTTCTGACATTTGTTGTTTTTTAGGTTATATTGGGGATATTGGCGTATCATACATAATTTCCACATGTAATTTCTCATTCAACTCTACACATTATATCCAAATGATGATGATTATTTTCGAGTTTTTGATTTTTCAACTCCAGCATAATCTTTGTGAGACAGAGAGCAAATTTTTCTGGAAGTCAAATACGTTTCACCAAATCGGACTGTTCTCAGGCAGTACCTATCAATAAATGCATTGTGATTTCAGACTAAGCCTCATGGTTGAGATATGGTGAAAAATTGTATGTAGGTATTCAAACTAATGTGCTCATATGTCATGTATGCTGTATATATTCATGTTGGGAATCATTTTTGCAGTTTTTCACGAACACTTAATATTTCCTGAATGTAGGTATAATTTTTTAAATGGTAGGGCATATGCTTCTTCCTTTTATCCTCCGTTTCAATCAAAACTATTTCTACTAAAATGCATTCAAAAACTTGTGGATTGGATAATTATATGCACAATGAGGAAGTATAATATGTGATTTCGTATTAGTTTTACCTCGAATATTTTGCTGATGTATTTACCAATTTTCCCTATTTGGTCACTTCACTTTCCATGTTATAAGTTCATTTGCATTCGATGGAAAGCTGACAAATTCAAATTTGCCATCCAACTGATTGATACAGCCTAACGCAGCACATTTTACCATCCTTCCAAAACAGAATTGAATAATGTCGTATTAGGATAAAATATGAAATTACAATTTTGTAAGATCTCTTTTAACGCCTATGAATGTGACGTGACAGCAATGTCAAGTCAGGGACGCCAATACATGAAACCAAAGTCACTAGATGATTAAAATAGAAAGGAGCTATGATCTGTCCGTACCCTGTTAGATAAACGACATCAACCCCCTATCATTGCACACTGAACTAGTAGGTGTAATTCCGGGACATCCTGCGATTGTTCTGTGACATATCATCGCAGCAGGTCCTGGTTCCGATAGTTATCTTAAATTCACTTGGATTGCTCTAAAACCTTGCAGGCATTCGCAACAACGATGTATGAAATTGAGTCAACAATTTATTCGAATGAATATACTGAAATCTACACTTACATTATGTATTTGTCGACGGGGAATATATTATCTATTGCCTTCTCCTTACTCCTACAAAGTTGATCGCTGAATTGCACGTGAACAGGAAGTCTGAAAGTGTGTTCTACGTAGTCCCAAATTGCCTGCAAATTGCCTATCGAACAGGAGTCTGGAATACATAATCCATAACTCATTTTGACCACTTTGATGATATCGGTTGATTGCATGCTCAATTTAATTCCTAAGAAGTCACATATCTGAAATGAGGAAGAAAGGTCCTACTAAATGTGGCACACGTACGTTTTTTCGACGTTTCATTCACGTACTACTGGTATATTTGACGTTTCTGGTAAAGAAGATCAACGTCGAAACCATCACTTCAAATCGAATGATTATCTAAAATGTATTCTCCTATAGAAGTTGATTCATTAAGAAATGCTCAAACAGTAAGGTAGATGGAGGACCCCGAGGTGCTTCTGAATAATCCATATTTCATGGGTTAATCATACTTTATAACCAAGATACAGGGTGATTTATTGATTTCCCCAATATTTTCAATTAATCTTAACTTATGAACCACTCTATAATTTTTTTGTTCTTTGTCCATAGTGGTGACGATTTATATAATGAAAAAAATCTTATTGCAAGGCCGGCCTTGAAAAAATTAATAAGTAGATTTCGAGTCGAAACAACACACTGTATATCAATATTTCGAAATCTCATCTACAAATTTGAGAAGAGCAGGAAAAAATAAGTGAGACTGAATGTATTTGGTGTTTCCGCATACAACTTTTTTACTTGTTAACATGATCTCTGGTAGAAGTCCATGTTTGCTCCAAGAGGAGTAAAATTTTTTAAAAGGAAGAAGGAATGCTCAAAGTCATCTCCACAACTTTCATAATGATGTAGTCAATCAAAGGGACATGTTTCGGGCTTATAAAAATCCATCTTCAGCCGTATTTTAGAAGTTACTATATAAGCAAAGGCATATTGCTATAAAAACCAAAAATTGACTTACATGGAGGTGAACATTATTTATTTTAGAAATGGATGCCGATGTCTGTCATCATAATATCGTGATTGTTAATAAATTCATCAACAATAACGATATTATGATGACAGACATCGGCATCCATTTCTAAAAATATATAATGTTCACCTCCATGTAAGTCAATTTTTGGTTTTTATAATAATATGTATATTTTCATATGCCTTTGCTTGTGGTAACTTCTAAAATACGGCTGAAGATGGACTTTTATAAGTCCGAAATATGTCCCTTTGATTGACTACATCATTATTAAAGTTGGGGAGATGACTTCGAGTTTTTCTTCTTCCTTTTGTTTATTAACTTGAGTCAAATCTAGAGGTTTCAATAATGAGGTGGCACAAAATGGTGAAACAAATCTTCTGTGGTCCCTGATGATGGTAATTAATTGAAAACGAGAGGACATGTCCGTATTTGGGACAAATTATTATCATGAATGACGAACTTGTATCTGTAAGAAAATCATCATAAAATTATCATAGCATTTGTTTATTGGACTACATGGAGAACAACAATTATGAAAATGTTGAACAATGCCAATTTCTAACAAATTATAACTTTATGTCAAACAAAAATGTCATTGCAACAAATTGTTTTGAGTTAAATCCACAGACATACAACATTTTCATTATTATCAAATTTGTGTTTCATTGAGTAAGCAATAACTGTCATCAACAAATAACGTTAGAACACAAAATGAAAGAACCAAGTACAAACTCATCAATCAACGTCAAAATTGTACTGTAACATCAGCCAACTTGACAATTACAACGATTTGGAATATCAAACCCAAAGTGTACATACAGACTGCTTTGTTCTTTCATAATTATCAAGAATTCATCAGAAGAGTCGAGATATGATTATGATCTAGCTAAAAAATTATTGGATGTGGATAAAGAAATTTCTAGTTTTTTTATTCTCTCTTGTGTTTTAACTTTCAAATGTAGGTTTATGGCGACGTTATTTTTGTGTAAAACAAAGTTATAATCTTTTCGGAATGGGCATTGTTCTTCATTTTCATAATTGTTGTTTCTAGTGATGTAAAAGGGGGAACGGAACGTTCCCTTGATGCTGTGGGAACGTTCGCAAAAGTTCGCGCACGATAAATCTTTCGTTCGCGCATGATAGATCGTTCCTCAGCACGAACGAGAATTTTCAGCATGAACTAGAATTTTCAGCGCGTAAGAGAATTCTCAGCCCTATCCCGGCCAATCAGAGCGCGCTTCATCCGCTTGCTTTGATCCCGGTCGTTGATTGATATATTACGCTTACGCGCGTAAGCGTATCCGTCACCATCGAGACAAGTGTATCGCATGTAAATTGCCTTTCACATTCCTTTCCTTGGGTGAAGGTCATCGTGTGTGATTACAGATAATCATTAGTAGTACATTTTTGGTTCCTCGCAGAAAATTGACTTGATTTATAGGTAAGTTTTCTACAAACGTCAGAAAATGACAAGGTTCGCGCATTGATAAGAATTTATGTGACACTTTTCTTTAGTTTCTCACGTTACCATGACACCATTGACACCGTGCGCGAAGTATATATTTCACGCATTGCATGTAAACTATATGAGATTTTTTGTATTATAACCTTCATGCAAACATCCAAGAAACCATTTTGGTCTAATTGTTCAACCATAATTAATCATTTCGCGCACCAGATTCAAAAATTACTGTACATTCAAGTTAATAAGCACAGGATAAAATGAGGCATTCGATTTCTCTCTTCATAAAAACAAATTGGCAATGACATGTATTCTTGCAAATTTAATAATTGTAATAAAATATGTGAAATGTCCCGAATCCGTGATGGGTCAAATGATACAGGAAGACAATAACGTTGTTGTTCTAGAAAGTACCTATATCTTATGAACATTTCATACATCATGGCATTGTGTCTGAAATTCAGCGCGGTACCTACATTCAAAAAGAGGATCATTATCTTATGCAGCATCAAGAAAATTTTCAGCATTTTTAGCAATTCGATAATCCTGAGTATTTTAAGCATTTTCAGAAAAAGCCGCGAAAAGTGAGTTTTTGAATACTTTTTTGTTTATGCTCGCTTTTTCTCGTTCATGCTCGAGGAAAGTTCACCAAAAATACTTTCTCGAGAATTTCACATCACTAGTTGTTTCAAATGTGGTGCGATGAACAAATGTTATGATAATGTTCTTACACATACAGGGTATTTAAAGTTAGTCATTGATAATAATAATTTGCCCCAAACATGGACTTGTCCTCTGGTTTTTCAACCAGGTTGGTATCGAAAAATCAGGAAAATGAGATATAAATAGTTGATGATTTCATGGATTGAAAATTGAAAAGGGCCATTTGGGGACGACAAATTATTTTTTTTAATTTTGTGCCACCTCATTATTGAAATTTCTAGATTTGACTCATTTTAATAGGTAAAAAAGTTGTATGCGGAAACACCAAATACATCCAGTCTTACCTATTTTTTCCTGCTTTTCCCAAATTTGTAATTGAGATTTTGAAATATTGATATACAGGATGTTGTTTCGATTCGAAACCTACTTATTAGTTTTTTCAAGGCCGGATGTGGAAAAAGACTTTTTTCATTATGTCAATCGTCATCACTGTGGACAAAGAACTTACAAACCAAATATCAAAAAAATGTATACGGTGGTTCATAAGTTATGATCAATTGAATTATTTGGAAAAAATCAATTATTCACTCTGTATCTTGCTTATGTAGAATGATAGAGCTATGATATATGGATTATTTAGAAGCACCTTGGTGTCCTCCATCAACCCAGGGGCGAATCCAGACGATGTTTGAGGGGGGGGGGCATAGAAAGTCACGGCTCAATAAGGTTAGCGCGGAAGAGAAATTATATGGTGACCTTCTGAGATAAATGCTTTTTCATTGAAAAAATTGATTATAGTAAACATAAAATCTTTAGTTTCCTTTCAAGTATCGAAATTACTGGTGTAAAAAAACAAGTTCAAACTATTCTTATTCCATCAATATATGTAGACTTCTGTGATAAATCATATTGGATAAAAAAGTTGATAAAAAAATATTTCTCTTGAAGAACTTGGGTTCAAAAGTGAATAAAAATATTTCTTTCGAAAAACAAAACGAATGAAACAGACAAAAATAAAAATATATAAAATAAAGAAAACAAATTCCAGTCTTCTATTCTTCTGCCTAACGTATCTTTGGATGATATCATCAACATTCAGACTGCTGCAGATGCCCCTGTGAATATGCATCAATGCCAATCCATTTAACCTGTCTTGGACCATTCTAGATCTTATCCAATCTTTCAGCCTTCTGAGTGTTGAAAAACTTCTTTCAGAAGATGCAACACTTACAGGCAGGCAACATAATGGTTCCAGAAGAATGTTCATGTTAGGAAACAAATGTTTGTCACATCCCTTCAGGGCAGTTACACCATTGTTCGGTATATTTCGCTTAGTATCCCACATTTTCTTCCATATCAGAAACGATCTTCTGAAAGGATATTTCATCATTCTCCTCAAAAATGGTCGGAAACTGTTCAAGTATATCTCTCATACCTCATATATTCCCTCATCTGTTTTGTTTTTAGTTATTGATGGCACACAAAGGTGAAGGTTGTATAGATTCAATTTATTTTCTGATAGTCTATCATTCAGATCAAGGATAATACTGGGATGAAATAGTTATTCTGTAATGGTCATCCACTGAGGAAACCGTAGGATTTGGTCTATGAATCAGTCTTCCTATTATTCTCAGCATCGAAAATTCAACATTCAGTTCTTTCAATTTCTGTTTGGCTTCATTCGAAATACTTAGATAGTATTTAGAATATCATCCCTTTTATTTTGAAACGTCATCAGAAGAGTGATACTAACAACATCGTTAGCTTAAATACTGTTTTTTGTCTGAGTTTTTTGTTTGGAGCAAATTACTGAGTGGCAGTGTTATCGAAAACATATTTGCCAAACAGCAATTTGCAATTCCTCAGAGCTGTTGCGAAGTTTCTAGCTATAAAGACATATACACAAATTTTTTCATTTATTTAAAATACCTACATTTTTACATATCCATGAGGTTCCCGAGGGGGGGGGGGGGCATGGCCCCATGGCCCCCCCCTTTGGATCCGCCCCTGCATCAACCCTTACTGTATGCGCATTTCCCAATGAATCACCCTGTATAATAATATTCTCTAATGCTTTTTCGTAAAAATGATAAAATGTGAAGTACGCATTGTTATGAAAGAATAACGGAAGAATGATATTCATTTGAGAAATCAAAATACAGGGCGATTCAAAACTGGATGTGAATATTTCAAAGATATATTGTTGGGATCAGATTAAGACTTTTTCCTTATATCACCTGAAAATTGGCATGACCCTGTCTTTGTAGCAATTTTGGAGGAGTTGTAGGAGGGTCCACACTTTTATTTCCCCAAATTCCATATTAAAGAAGTCTTCCTATATTACTCACAGCTGCCGAATCCATTAGAAAGTCCAAATCACTAGAATATTTGTTACTGGGATTCAGCACAACCGTGCAATATTGTCCATTTATTAACGTTCCACTTTTATTCTCAGCAATATTCAAGCATTGATCGTAATTTCCAGTCATATAAAGATTTCCAGCAAGAACACCACTGGATCCCTTGGAACAAGCATCAAACACTGAAAACGAAAAACAATTTTCCACACAAACTGTTAATTATATACAACCAACATATCTCAAATAAAAAACCGCCCGCGGGCTTATTATGGCCCACAGGCCGTAAAGTGCACTTCACCGGCCGGTTTTGCGGGCGTTAAGTTGCTCTTCACCGCCCACGGGCCTATTATGGCCCACGGGCCGTAAAGTGCACTTCACCGCCCACGGGCTTATTATCCGATTCCATTGTCTCGCTATTATTATTATCACTTATTTCTACTTTTCAGTCAAAGAATGACAATTCAGCTTGTTTATTGGATGTATTGCTATAGACAACAACCATCAGCTTGCTTGACAACGTCAAAATATATGCTGGGTATGCATATTGTGAAATTCTGAAGAATGAATCTCTTCTAGAGATCAAATAGTTTCACTATCACGATAATTGCAATATTCGTACGATACTTTTTATGTGTATAAATATAAATCATCCAGGAACATTACGCTTCTCTTGATTACTGAATTAATACGTAACAAATTGAATTCGGGGGAATATAAGTTTATGGAAATCTGTAGTCATTACTTTCGAGTCAGAAAATAAACCACTAGTGCATAAAATTTTGTATGTATCACGTGCGTGAAATGCGTTTATGGCCTTCAGCGTGTAATGGCCCTCGGCTAGCGCCAACTTTACGCCCTTGATACATAAATAACTATTATTCATCATCCCGTTGCTCCCTTACGAGCAACCCTCAGAAGTCTTCGAGACACTTGTGTGAGCGAGGAATGACGGGGGTCTTTGAATTTCAACTTGTGATCCCAAAACACTTCACGTTTGTATCTATCTTTATTACAGATGCACTAGAATTTTATGTTTTCAACAACTTACGTACTACATCAATAATTGATTTACAGCACTGTTTGGTGGGTACCTAGTACCTACACAGAATCATATTTTAGTAAACTGCAATGTCAATTGGGGTTCACTAATGACAAAACAAACATTCAACTATGAAATATGATAGAAGTTAATATTTCTATAGTATTTCAAAGTTGAATGTTTGTTATTATGTCGTTAGTAAATTTATCAAAATATCAAATGATTCTAGTATGTTCCATACAAGTTGAATCTGAAGATTTTCTGTTAAAACATCTCGAGGAGTGCATCTGTGAAATATTTCAAGTAGTGCAGTACGCAGTACCTAGTGAAATGTTCTTCAATAACCCTGCAGTTAATGTGCGAATGAGATGACTTTGAGACGCTCCTGTATGACCTCGGGCAAAACAATCAAATGTAGCAGAGACATTGCAATTGGAACTTATCAATGTAACATTTCACACCCTAGGTCATTTACGGTCTGGGCGAGAATGTCTCATAAATGTTTCAGAGTATACAGGGTGGGTCACGGTCGATGGCACTTTAGACGTTTACGGGGAGAACGGGACATAAGATCATTCTGAAAATTTGGTTACTCGAGTAATTGCTCTTGATCTATCGATCTAAAATATTTTCAGCAATGCAGCTTTGCCGCTCATTCCAGAAAGTAGCAGCGTTGTTATTCCAAAAAGGACACCCTGTATATTACCGCATTTTTGAACTTATGATCATTTTCTGATTATTCCCGCCTCATACTATCCTATACCTATCTCTAACAGTTTTTGAGTTATTGATTATTTCGCATATTTTTTATCCAAAATATAGCTCGAATTGAATGTTTATTTCTGCGGTATTTGGATTCTTAGGAAGTTGCAATGTTGTGTTTAATTCATAAAGATCATTTATATTGATTCTGTAGAGATAAATTTGTTCTGCGTTATACATGGTCGTTCAACATTCATGATCTTAATGCTAGATACAAAAAGGGTTGAAGGTGCGTTTTTTTTTTCATGGAACACCCTGTATATTATGAGATATCCTGGAAGATGACTAAATTCTATTCGTATTGATATATCATGTTCCTATATCTAAATAGCCAGAATTGCGAGATAGGAGCAATTTCCTAAAAACATCGAATTATTTTTCTCATATTCATCTAAGGTGGCTATTAAATGTCATGATGGTACATGGCATTAATTTGACAATTAGTGCATTAGTAATAATACCTTAGTGTGTTTCTCAACGGAAGTGACTGAAAAAGAAAAGAAATGGAGGAAAACAGCCATTCAAATAAAATTCTGATGAAATTGTTTACTCTTTATGGAAAATGTGAGGGAATTATAGCAAGAACGTGCAGAAAATTCAATGAAACGTATCCTGATCTACAACTAATGAACAAAAAGGTATTAATACTAATGCACTAATTGTCAAATTTTTATAATGCCATGACCATCATGACATTCAATAGCCACCTTAGGTGAATATGGGAAAAATAATTCGATGTTTTTAGGAAATTGCCCCTATCTCGGAATTCTGGCTATTTAGGTATGATGTATCAATTCAAAGGGAATTTAGTCAACGTCCAGGATATTTCATGAAATACAGGGTGTCCTATTTGAAAAACCGCATTTCCAACCCTTTTTGTATCTAGCACTAAGATCATGATATCATGAATTTTGAATGACCCTGACCCTGCACAACGCAGAACAAACTTCTCTCTACAGAATCATTATACATGATTTTGATGAACTGAACACAAAATTGCAACTTCCTAAGAATCCAAATACCGCAGAAATAAACATTCAATTCGAGCTATGGATAAAAAATATGCAAAATAATCAATATCTCAAAAACGGTTTGAGATAGTTATCGGATAGTATGAGGCAGAAATAATCAGAAAGTGATGATAACTTCAAAAATGCGGTAATATACAGGGTGTCCAATATGAAATAACAAAGATGCTGCTACTTTCTGGTATGAGCGACAACGCTGCAATGCTGAAAATATTCTTAATCGATAGATCAAGAGCAATTACTTGTGTAACCAAATTTTCAGGATGATCTTATGTCACCTTCTCCGTGAACGTCTAAGGTGGCATCGACCGTGACCCACCCTGTATAAGTGAAATATTTCATATTTCACAGAGTTAGTTTCAAAAAAGTGTCAGAAACACAAAATGGTTTACTGGGCACTCCTCATTCCGAACTCTACATTTTTTTAAATAAAATTGTTAGCCTATTCTATACACGCTTTGGTAATCTTGGATTGAATAATATCAGTACTTACTTTCGAGGGCCCATTTTTCCATGTAAATAAAATCGTTGAACAAACTTTTCAAATCTTGGGCACACTGCGTATTACCACCTGCATTATCTAGAATATCATCAGCTTTTCCTCTCACATAATTGAAAAATATTCGATGCCATGAATGAATTTTCATAGCCTCCGAAACGGAAATCGAATTTTGGCATAAAACAGCCAAGAAAATCAATAAATACAGGGATTTCATTTTAAAATTCCGACAAGCTCATTGTTCTAAACGAAAAGATTGAAAGTGGTAGAAAATATTGAGTCGTCAGGTGAAAGATGAAACGATAAAAGGAATAGGTAAATGCATCCTGCATGGCCAATTAGTAGAATTACCGAGCGATAAATGTCAAATTATCGGAATATTATCATTGTCATTATTGTGTTTTATTTTTTAGATGGGTACCTACTTCATTCGCCTGATAACAGTAATAACCGAAATAGAACAATATTATGTTTCAACGAGAATCATTAATATTCACACCGAGTAAATTCTCATAGGTTTACCAGTATATCAATTCTAAAAAAGCACATTATATTACTGCTAATTGGGATAGTTCAACCACAAAATGCTCTCTCTTCTTAAATACGTAATATTTCATCTGGTATAGGACGAGGTTTTGGTCAGACAAATAGTCAAATGAATCGCCCTGTAACTTTTCAGTTTCTTGTCCGATTTTGGCAAAATTCTGACCAAATCGTAGATTCATGTTCATAAATGTCTACTCGAATTCTAATTCCCAAAAGAAGCTTGATGATTATCTAGGGGTCACCCTAGATGAAAGACTCACCCGCAACGCCCACTTGGCAAAAACTATCAACAAAGCCAGATTTTTCCTCTGGAATCTCAGAAGCGTATGCGGCAAATCATGGGGAATGAACCCCAAACAAATTTACTGGATTTACCAAACAATGGTAAAACCAATGGTCACGTATGGCTCGGTAGTCTGGTGGAAAGGTCTGCAGGGAACAGCCAGGGCAAAGCTCGCTGGCCTTCAGCCGCTGGCATGCCTGGCCATTACAGGGGCGATGTCCTCTACTCCAACGGCAGATGGAAAACCTCCGGAACCTAACTCCCCTCCACATTGTCTTGGAGAGGGAAGCCAGGATGGTTTCCTACAGATTCCTATCATTGGAAAAACAAATTAGAGGGGGGCGACTGCTGGACCACTCCGGGATACTGTATGAAATAAAAATCACCAAAAACTCTAGGAATGGTTCCCGACATACTGGCAACTCAAACACACGTGAAAAAGTATTTTGAAGTCCTCTTTTCGATGAGACGAGTAGGTAAGTGGATTAGTCCAATTCCTAGAGACCGAACACGTTATGTACACGGATGGTTCGAACACCTCTCTCGGAGTCGGAGCCGGTGTGTTCAGCAGAAAACCAAAGACGGAAATCTCCGTCAATCTCATTGAGTATGCTACAATCTTTCAGGCAGAGGTCTTTGCAATTGAATTGTGTGCCAGAGAGTTGACGAATAGACCTCTACTAAACAAAAACATCAGCATTGTATCAGACAGTCAGGCTGCTCTTAAAGCACTGAGCTCCAGCAAGATAAATTTCACGCTTGTATGGAGCTGTTATGAAACCCTAGAATGCCTGGGTGCCAACAACAGAGTTTCTTTGGTGTGGGTGAATATGTGTTCATAGGACCAGAACCATACTTTGGGATCACCACAAGTGTGGCCTAAACAACAATCTCGGACTGGGCGGAGGGAAAGAGACTCACGTACTGGTCTGAATTACCAGGGTTAAACCATGAAGCAGGGGTAACCTGCGAATTCTGACAGGACTGTTTACGGGACACTGTCGTCTAAGATACCACCTGGGAAGGATGGGTCTGAACCAACAAACGGACTGTCGATTCTGCTATGTGGAAGACGAAACGGCTGAACACATATTATGTTCATGCTCTTACTTAGAGAGACTAAGGTTCGATATATTTGGCTTTAATTTAGAACCTATCGAATGCAGACAAATCTCACCTGATTCAACCATGAACTTTATAAAAAGATGTGGATTGTACAGTGAACTGTAACCTCTAGGGGTGAGCCACAATAGACCCATCTGGGGTCGCAGTGGAGGGGCGGATTTCGCCCCGCTCACATTGAACCTAACCTAACCTATCCAGGAAGAAACAAAAGTTACTATTTCACGCTTTACTTCTCAAAGCCTCGTGGCAAAAGTGAGTAATTGAACTTAGCTTCATCATGTTTTGGATTGGAGTTTGATCCCACAATAGTAGGATGTATAGATTTTTCAAAATCTGCAGAACACACATGAACTTATTTTTTCGTCTAGGTGGTTGAAATCATTTATGTAGATCATATAAGGGTCTAATCCCCCCTTGGATAGTGTGGGAGTAGCCTGACTCCAGGGTATACTCACTACCCAGTAAACCATTTTGTGTTTCTGAAACGTTCCTGAAACAAACTCTGTGAAGAAATTCTAGAGACTAAGAATGACCTAGGGTGTGTAATGTTTCATTGGGATGTTTCAACCCAAATCTCCGTGACTCATTCAATAAACAGTATACATAAACATCTTTGAGAAATTTCACTATTGCATTTCATGTAACGTTTCACAAATAGTGTCTATGAAACATTTCCTTATTGCACTATTCGCAACATTTCCAACATGACTTTTGTGAAACATTTTCGATACGGCTTTCTTTTGCTGATACTGCAACATTTCAAATATAAAACCATTTTTAGTTCATACCAAGACTACATTATCACAGCAGTTAATTGAGATCACTTACTCATAATGAAAGTAAAGCAATATAGGTATATGGGAAAAAAAGCAGGGTGGATAAAATAAAACTGGATTTCATACTATGAAAAAACTCATTAAGTTATAATAAAAAAACATTTCATTTAATATTCTCCTTTTCTCTGGCTAACCTGAGACCTGATTAGCGAAACCAAGCTGCTACATATTTTTCGAATTCCATATCCGTAACAGAAAACCTCTTTTGGACAGCACCTGAAAAAATGTTAAGACCGACAAAACAATGTACAAAAAATTTGAGGTTATTTTCGCCACTACCGCCCTACCATCGATGTATTCAATTTTGGGCTGATTTTTATTCCATTCAATCAAGCATCGAATATTTAGTGAATGTACAGGTAAACCTACTCACCTTCTTCATATTCATAGTTGTCATTTTGAAGTTTTAAAATAACAATACCAGGCAATACCAAGGGACGCTAGAATGGCATAATTATCTTCTTGGACCGGACAGTCGGATCAAGTCGGAGCCGGCCGTGCTTATTGGTTCGGACTGTCACATGCCGATGTTGCCAGATTAACCACCCGTCTTCATTGATCACACCATAGCAGGTGATTAATTATTGCCGGAATCATGAACCTGGGAACGTCAGCATACGAAGTTTCAAAATATGTGGTTTACTTTTCTCATTGAATAGTTTTATATCATTTCTGAAATGTTTTCTAGAGGTTAATGTAGAGAGATATTATCGTTGACACGTATTAGAGTACTATGGGAACGTTTGAATTATGAACAACTATAGTAAACACCTGTATAGAAACATTTCAAAGATGTTCCACATTACGCATAACAACAGAGATATATTTCACATACCTACGTCAACATTGCGATGTTTTAGATGACACGTCTAGAGATCCACGTGATCCAAATTCATGCAGAGAATTCCTGCAATGATTTTGAAGTGTATGTATTGACATATTTCTGACATATTTCACTCAACATGAAGAGCTTCAGAAATCTTTCCTATATGTTAACATCGGAATGTTTCAGACGATACGTCTAGAGATACACGTGAGACATTTCAAGCAGAGAATTTTCGTAACGAATATGAAACGTATGTTTTGACATATTTCTGAAATATTTCACATAGCATGGAGAGCTTCAGAAATGTTCCCTTTATGTTAACATTGGAATGTTTCAGATGACACGTCTAGAGATTTATGTGAGATATTTCAAAAGCAGAGTATTTTTGTAACGAATATGAAACGTATGTATTGACATATTTATGAAATATTTCACATAGCAAGGAGAGCTTCAGAAATGTTTCCTTTATGTTAACTGGAATGTTTCAGATTACACGTATTAGGGAACTTTTGAAATGTTTCTGAAACGAGTTGTGTTTACTGGGGAAATTCTCCACCCCGTTTGTAAGCTCGTCTGACCGATGTCTCCGACGACACTTGTTCCTAGTGGCCCATTGTATCTAACTTACATGGCGTTATCAATTTCACCATGCCACGTCGATATGAATGACCCTTTTCGTTCAGGTTCCTGCGATCCCTCTCGTATACGAAGAAGGCGAAACGTTTTCGTTCTCCTACGAGTGACGGGGAAAGGGGCTGGTCCTACCCTGTGGTGCCCCCTGCACAGGGCTAAGGCTGTTTACTCGCCCTATTTTCCAGAAGCCCCGTTAGCGACACCATACCTCGGTATGATTTATCCATCGCCACAGCTTGGATAAGGTTGCCAGAGCCTCGTTGACCAGCCCTTAGCCACCTAGACAGATATCAGCAAATCGCCCCATCTTTGCCACAGATATCCATAGATTGTCCAAACTGGCCCAGAGATAGCAAATATGGTCCCAAAATAGTTCATCTGTCCAGCGACAGCGGTCTGTCCTCCCCACACCACTTGATGGTGAAGTTGGGCTTGGAGGGGAAGAGGAAAAGAGAAGTTGGCCAAGGAAGGCCGATAGGATGGATTGAAAAAGAAAGAGAGCAGAGGATATCACCCAAGACAAGTTGAAGTTTGGTGGATATCTGGCCAGGGTACCTCGAGTTTATCATTCCAGTATTCAGAAGTTGTGAGCCCCTGAGGAGACACATGAACTTATCGATTGACAACTCTTCTTCTAAGTAGTCAGAGCAGAGGGAAACATCAATTACTAAAAACAAATGTGAAGCAGACCTCCTAGATGTAGTCAATAACGAGTATGCCCTACTCGAGCTTGAAATACAGCATGACATCGAATTGATCTAATTTCTCAAGCAGTGTTGAGGAATGGCCTCAAATTCTCCTTGAAAGGCGAATCGTGTCTCTTGAAGAGTCTCTGACAAGGCCGGGTAAAGTCGCCGAATGAGCCTCTGGAGTTCATCCCAAAGATGCTCTGTAGGTTCTGAATTATTGTTAATAATAATAAAAAAATGCCATATTTTCTTCAAACACTTGTATCTTCTCTTAGAAAG